TAAAAGGTACAAGTTTGTTCCTAGGCAGTCTCTACAGCATCTCTAAAAATTTCTCTATTCTCACAATCAAGCAGCACCTAGAAATTTTTGCCAGTCCCTAGTGTTCCTCATGTGGTATTGCCCATCTCCATAGAACAAATCATCCTAGATGAGACGTAAAGGCATGTGTGAGATGAGGTACTCCAAGACAGCCAGTATGGCTTCACCAAGGGCAGATCGTGCCTAATCGATCTGGTGGCCTATTACGGAGTGATGACATCAGTGAACAAAGAAAGAACAACTGATGTCATCTACTTGGACTTGTGCAAGGCTTCTGACAAGGTCCCACACCACATCCTTATCTCTAAATTGGAGAGGTATTTGCACCTGGTATGTGTTTAATGATGTTCTAAAAACAGTCCTATTCTTTGTGTGTTGTAGATAGCACAGTCTATACAATTTAAAAGGACATAGTCCAGACAATTTACTTCATATTCCAGGTTAGAGGATTCCTTGCAAGATTACTCTTCCTAAGTACCATATTGTTTACACACTTTGGGCCCAGCGTATAAGATCACACTTTTAAGTTTTATCTCCACCAACAAGGTTCAAAATGAAGCATTTATTACTGGAGAAGATGGTGACAGAAAACTAGAAATCACTGCAACATGAACAAACTGCCTGTTAGATTAAAAACATAAGTTTCATAAGAATAATAACAAAACTTCACTCACTGAATGATGTAACAGAATTGCCCACAACATTCGGTCCTGCCTGCAAAAGAAGGAAAATATTACTAGAAATCACATCTAGGAGTGATGGTAAACATTTAGGGAAAATATAAGTTACAAATTTTAATTTCACTTATTTCCACTTTGTCCTGGTTTCAGCTGGGACAAAGTTGATTTTCTTCATAATATCTGGTACTTAGGTTTTAGGAGAAAAACAGTATTGATAATACACTAGTGTTGTAGTAGTTGCTGAGCAGCGCTGCACAGAACCGAGGACATTTCAGCTTCTTACACTGCCCTGCCAGTGAATAACTGGAGGGGCGCAAGGAGCTGGACAGAACCAGGACAGAAACATATTCCGTACTATGTGGCATCATGCAAAAACCTCAGAACTGCAGGGAGCTGGCTGGGAGGATCTGCTGCTGTTTAACAACAGGTTCAGCTTCGGTTGATGGGTGGTGATCAATTCCATTGTGCATCACTTGTTTTGTAGAGAGACATTTATGTGTATATCTTTTTATCATTACTTTTATTCCTCTCTTCCTTTTTGTTATTATTATTTTTTATCTCAACCTACAAGTTCTACTTTTTTCCCTCAATTCTCTGTCCTGTCTCCCAGAGAAGTGGGGTGGGGTGAGCAAATGGTTGTCTGATGCTGAGCTGCTGCTGGGTTTAAACCCCACACATTTGCAACATCGATGGCAAACCAGTTATTTGGAGTAGCATAAGCAAGACAAACAGCAGTCCTGACAAAAAAATCACAGGACTGACAAGGCAAAAACTGATCAACAGAAGCCATCAAGACTGTCTTCAGGACATCTTTCAGGACAGCAGCTGCACCATCAACAGTGACACAGTTGCTGTTAGGGCTGATCGAAAACAGAGGACTGACTTGTACCCACTGTGTGACTGTAGAGTCTCCCAGTACACTGAGAGATTGGAGAAGGCTCTGAAGAGAAGATAATATATATATTGGAAAGGATGCTATCACTGCTTTCCCAATCTGCAGGAAATTTTTGTAAAAGCCCAAAAGAGCTCACACAATACAGAATAACACAACTCAATTGTTACTACATTAATCATAGTTTGTGCCAATACAAAAAGTAAAACTGCAAGCAAATTGTTTTATTCTTGTACACAACTTCAGCTGTGCAAAAATCATTTTACACTGATGCCATAAACAGCCTGTGAAACACAAAAATTCTTTCTTATTTAAGGAATCACTACATATGTTGACGCGCCTGATAGAGGAATGGATTTGAAGTGTGAGAGTGTGTTGTTCTAGGAGTTCTGGAAATAAATCAAGAATTGCTTCAGGCTATCAGATTTCGGGATGAGAATGTCACAAGAGGCTTTCCGTTGGCTGGGGGATGTGGGGAGATAGTTCACGCTTGGCAAGACCTATTTACCAGAAGAACCCTAATGATCAGACAGGACACCAAAACAAGAAAGAAAGGAGGGAAAAAAAATTTATTTTTGCTGTTCCTCTCTCAGAAGTCTAGCTTCACTTAAACTTCTGTTGCCAAACACAGACTTCTTTTAAGGATACTGAAGCAGAGATATCCATAAAGATACTCATTTCAACATCCATAAAAATACTAATATGTAATTATACACCATTCTCACATCAACACGAGCACAAACGCACCTGGAACCATAACCTGAAGAGAAACCAGAATGTGACAAATTTTAATGCTGGTACTTTTCTTCTTAGTGAATAAACTGTGAAACGCTGCCTAACTCTCTTCTGTCCTCATGCTTTAAGAATGGTTTAAACATACAAAAGCCTGCTAGGAAAGCCTCCTAAGTGCAGAGATTATAAATGGGAGAAATAGTAACACCACAAGTATTTAAGGTTGCTGGAAAGTGTGCCAGCTGAATATAGGAACATAACTTGTAAGTTTAAACTGCAGGCAAGATAAATACCTATCAGAATTATTCAGTGATTGATAGTTGATTTTGTGATTTTGTCTTGAGGAAAGGGAAACACTAAATAACCTCTGAAAAGCTCTTCCAGCTTTACTTTATGCTATCTATAAAATGTGTAAGTTGCTCTGAAAAGTAATGCCTCCTGTTTATTTCCATGGGAAAAGATACAAAGTACACAATAATACTATTTAGTAGCATACATTCTCAGCTACAAAGCAAAATTTATCAACATAGTAACCACCATTAGCCATGCATTTTTGCAACTTGCATGGCTAACAGCCTGCATGTTGCACTTGTAACAGTCTGCACCAGTGGAAGTGATCCACTGTCACTGAAACACATCGCTCACCACCTCACTATGCTCACATCGACTGGTTGGTCTCCATCAGTGTTCAGCAAGCATCAATGAATGTCAAATGGGTGCCATTTTTTCCATGTGGCAGAATTCAATGACATGCTTTTTCTTCACATGCATTTTATGTCATCCACTGTTTTGCCAGACTGCCCCTCTGCTGCCATCTGTCACATGGCAAAAAAATGTAATGGGATATTGGTGGGAAGGTTCAATCTCTACTGCCATACCACCAACATGCACCTGTGATGCTGCTGGCCAATATAATAAAATAGGAAGCGTTACTTTCAGATCCAGCTTCATACATAACATCCTCAGTTGGTAACAGAGCAACAGCTGAGCATATTAAACAATTTCAGGACGTAAATCAAACACAGAGACTGGAATTAAATGTGTGAGATTATCTCCCACTACCGTTTAGAAAGTTCTCGATCTTTCCCATTAGCAGATCGTGCAAGCCAGTGACTGAAGCAGAATATCAGTCTAGACACCCTGTTCACACACCTGGCCTATCTGCCTACTGCTCTCATGAGGTAACTAGCATGAAGATATACTCATGCTCCACTCAAGGCCATAAGTTGTAACGGAATTACACATTACACAAAAGCCTAACACAAGTGGCAGGAAGCAACTCTGGTGTACACTGTGGACATCCAGTACATTCCCCAATAAAAATAGCCAGAGACGCTTAAAAGGTGCAAGTCTGTGAATGTGGCACTTAGCACGTTTCTTCTTACTTCTGAACCGGAAAATTCAATTTGAAATCAAGAGGGCATTTGACAGTACCTGTGTCCCATGCACCTAAGTTATTTTTTGAGACTTAGTGAATCATGGCACACGAGAAATCACAAAAACCATGCGTATACCCTAGCAGCCCAACACTCCACGAACACCTCTTCTAGGGTTGTCCTGATAACAGCGCTCGGCTAACACGGCTGTCGTCGATAAACCTGCGCTCCGGCCTCCCGCGCTCGCGGGGCAGCTTGCGAAACACCGGAAAACACCGAGAGAGCCGGGAAAAGCTCCCGGACGGAGCAGCGAGGACCGCGCGTCTCAGCCAGCGGCCACCACGCAGGTGGGAGCCGGGGGGCCGGGCGAGGAGCCAGGCACCAGGCGGGGGAAGCGGGAGAAGCGAGAGAAGCGGGGGAAGCGGGGGAAGCGGGGGAAGCGGGGGAAGCAAGCGAGCGGGTGCCGCCATCCGCCGCCCCTCAGGAGCCAGCCGGCCCCGCCGTGCCTCGCGCCCGGCTCCCGGCACGGGCCGCCGCCTTACGGGAAGCTCCGCCCCCCGCCCCTGCCGGAGGCGTCAGCGCCCCGCGCGCCAATGGCGGCGGCCGCCGGGAGGGACGGGCGGTGGGGGCGGGGAGGACGTAGCCGGGCGTAGGGCCTCGCGTGCGGGACGACGGGGTGGCGGCGGCGGCGGCGGGGCCGTTATTTAGAGCTGGCGGCCGGGCGCCGGGAGGCGGTGCCGCACAGCAGGTAAGGCGCGGTGCGGAAGGGGGCTCGTGGCCGCGGGCGGTTCCCTTTTGCTGGTTCGTCCTCACCTCCGTCGCCCCGTTTTTCTGCGGTTTTGGCGGGGGCTCGACGCGCGCGTTCGACGCGCCCCTCCCGGTAGGGGGTGGGGCGGCCATCGGTGGGCCGGTGGGGCGCTCCGGGCCGCGCCGCGCTGCGCCGCGCCAGGGCCGGGCTCCGCTGGCTGAGCCGTGCGACGCGGGCGGGCCTGGTGGGTGGGCGTGCGGCCAAGGCTCTGCGAGGGCGGGAGCGAACACCGCCCCGCGCCGATCGCCGGGCCTTCGTTTGTCCCTGCGGCCCAGCCACCCCCCTGCGGCTTTCCCGGGCCGGAGCCTGCGGTGCGGGCCCCGGGAGGACGCCGCTTCTCGCCGCCGTGGGTTGTAGCCCGGAGGCGCGGAGTGGCTTTACCCGCTGTCGGGCCGGGGGTTGGCTGTGGATCCCGTGTGCAGGGAGTGCCTCGGCAGTACCCCTCCGTCCTGGGCCGGTGCCGTTTGACCGAGCCGTTGGCCTGGCGAGTGGTTTATCTGCGTTTTCCTCCGGTGGTGCGGTGTGCTGGCGATCCTAACGGAGGTGCTGTGCCCCGCTCGTGGCTGTGTCTTTCGAACGTATGTTTTCCAGACTTCCTTAGGTCTGGTGAGATTGAACGTATCAGCGCGCCTCTTCTTTGTCACTGAAATGTGCTTTGCGTTGTAGCACGTACTGGTCTTTCATGTACCTTGTAGTCCAGGATGTAGAAAATTCGTGATCTTGGAAGCAGCATACGTTTTGTTTTACACTGTGCCCAGTGCCGAGAGCATAGGAAGTTCATGATGTGTGGGTGCAGTTGCAGGCTGGGTCCTTTGTGCACATCCGGTGTGTCCCTGAACTCCACCTGTCCTTGTGGTGAGTCTCTGACAGTCTTCCTCAAGAAGACTGTTGTCAGTATTTCCATCTTACAGTTGATGAAATTCAGGCACAAAGGAGAACAGTTTGCCAAATGCACTGGCAGTGAAGAGCAAATAAATTCCAGTCTCATAGTTCTCACCCTTGTTTCAGGCTGACTAGGCGGCTGCCAGCTGGTTGCTGTTTGTTGCTTGTGAGGTATCTCTGACAGAGAAACCAGGTAGAATCCAGTAGAGTTACAGTTTTGTTACTGGTGTTATGTGCTAGAAGAGGGAGAAAAAATAGAGGTCTACAAACGGAAGAGTTCAGACACTTGCTGCAGTTGAGAATGCTTATCCTCTTCATACAACATAAATTTAGTTTTACTTCTCATCCTAAATGTTGTTAATTTCAAAGGAGTAATGATTCATGAAAGGTATCATCTGCTGAAATCAAGTAATTTCTGAATTTGACAAGCTATATTTGTTGGTGTATTGCAACAGGAAAGTGAGAGGAGATGATGCAGCAGGGCATAAGCAATTCAGGAGGTTTCTGGAGTATGCTGGTAACTTCTGTACAAGATGTGGTCTTATGAACCTCATATTCACCAGCAGTTAGAAGTTACTTGGGAATGTGAAGGTCAAAAGCAGCTTTGGCTGCAATGACCACAAGGCTCTAGAGTTCAGGATCCTTGTTGGGTCAGAGAGGAACGTGAAAAGTAATATCCCAAACTATAGGAGGGTAGACTTCAGTCTCGTCAAAGATCTGCTTGGAAAAATAAGAATTGCCCTGGGGTAAAGCTGTGGGGAGTAAGAGGAACCAAGAAAGCTAGTTTATACTGAAGGATCATCTTTTCCAAGTTCAAGAGCAGTGTATTCCCAGAAAGAGGAAGTTAAGCAAAAGTGCTGAGAGGCCTGCATGGATGAGCAAGGAGCTCTTGGCCAAACTCAAATACAAGATGGAATCATAAGGAAGAGTGGAGGCAAGGATGAGGAGTCTGAAAGGAGTACAGATGTTGTTCAAGCATCAGAGGATTAAGTTAAAAAAGCTAAATTTTAAATGGAATTAAATCTAGCCAAGGGATATCACACATATCAGAAAAGGCTTCTGTGAGTGCATTTTTAATTAATTGAAGAGTAGGAACTAAAGAGTGGGCTGTTGCAGACCTTCACTAAGACCTCTGACACTGACTACCATAAGAATCTCATAGACAAGTTGTTGGTGTATGGGTGGACAGTGAAGTGGGTGAAAAACTGTGAGCATCTGGGCCCAGAGAGTGATGGTTAGTGGTTGAAGGTGGAGTGGCAATGACTAGTTGTGTGCACCATACTGTGCATTCCTGTTTTACATGTTGATGATTAGCCATAGTGCACTTTCATTGTATTTGCAGATGATCCAGAATTGAGAGATACTGTCATCCAAGGGGACCTCCATAGGTTGGAAAAGTGAGCTAAAAAGAGCCATTGCATTGCATTTCAACAAGAAATGCTGAGTCTGTACATGGAAGACAGGCAACAGTACCAGCTTGGGGGTCACCAAGCTGGAAAGCAGCCTGGCAGAGGAGAACAGAGGGTCCTGGTGTACACCAGCTTTACCATGAACCAACAGGTTGTGTCACAAAGTAGGATACTAGTACCCTGGGGTGCATTAGATGAAGTGCTGCCAGCAGGTCTAGGAAGGTGATCTTTTTTTTTTTTTTTTTTTCTGCTCAGCAGTAGTGAGGCCTCCTCTGGAGTACTGTTTTGGGCTCCACAGTACAAGAGAGACGTGGACATGCTGAAAAAGGTCAGTAAAGGTGATGAAGGAGCAACAGCATCTCATATGACATTAGTCTGAGAGAGAGCTGGGATTGTTCAGTCTGGAGAAGATTTGAGGGATCTTATCAATGTACCCTCCATGTATTTTTAGATAAAGTGGATAGTACTACCCTTTTCAGTGGTGCCCAGTGCAGGACAGAAGGCAATGGGCACTAACTGGAACACCAGGCAGCAGTTCTGTGCTGTGCAGCTGGTGGAGAACTGGCATAGGTTGCCTGGAGAGATTGTAGTCTTCTCCTAAGGGATCTCTGAAAGCTGCATGCACGTAAGCCTGGGCACAGTGCTCCAGGTGGTCCTGCTTGAGCAGAGAGGATTGGACCAGGTGGACCCAGAGATCCCTTCCAAAATAAACAATAGAGGTTATTCTGTAGTGGAGTATTGGTACCCTCAGTGTGAAGGTACCCCAGTATGAATTTCACAGTATACTATGTGTGTAAGGTTATAGAATCATGGAATGGCTTTGGTTGGAAGGGACCTTAAAAGTCACTCCTTTGCTTGTTATGAAACCTCAACCAGTAGCTCTGATTTGCAATGTAACTTCTATATACAGCTTTCTCGCTCTGCTTACCAGAGATATGTGGATTCTGGGTGAAAGATTAGTGCTTAAAAGTGTAAGCTTGAGTCTTTTTTTTCTAGAAGTTCCTCATAAACAGGAATCAGTTTGCCAGCAGCCTTTGAGCTTCTGTGACCTGGTGATTAGCCTTACTAGACCTAACAACTGATTGTGAAGTCTTGGTGTAACCTGTGCTGCCTGATTTGTAAGTGGAATTCTCTGGCAAGATGATGCCACTTTGCTGTAGTTTCTTTAACTGAAATTGTCATTTGTGTGTCACTTGAACTATAGTTGTCATGTTATTCATTTGAGGATTTTTTCATAACTTACAAGGTTAAAATAGTAAGTTTTTGTATGTTGCTTAGAATAAGTAGAGCCACTCCTTTTGCTTGAATCCCTTATATGTCTTCGAAAAGTATTTTAAAACTGTGATAACCAAATGCTGTTGCTACTCCATGCATATGGTGCTTGACTTCAGGCAGATTTCTAAGTTTCCATAGAGCAGTGCTTGAGCTATTGGTTTGAAGACTCAGGAGCCAGTGCTGCTTAGTGTTTTGGTATCAAAATACTAGGAGGATGTGAAAAATAATAAAAGTCCTGTATGATTTGGAAATTAAATTCAGTGATTTCATGGCAGGTATTTCACATATATTTATTTACTGAAGTAATCTCCGCATTTTTAACAGTTTTTTTCCTCTCAAAAGTAACAATATGTGAGTTAGAGACTGTCACCACAAGTAGTTCTAAACTGATCATAATATTTTTTTGTTTTTACTATGATGATATTTTCCAATATCCATTTCTTTCTCTGCTTCCCTTTCTTCTTTATTTAGCTTTGTGCCTATCTAAGCTTGGCTAGGAAAAACTGTTTTAGTGATCTGGAACAAGTACATAGTGTCGATAAGTTGCTGATCTAGCTTTTTTTTTCCTAAAGAAGCTTCTGAACAGACTAGCTTTGCCAGCATTAGTTAAGTGTCAGGTTGAACTTTCACATTCGATTCCAAACACAAAGCACCCGTTTGTAAGAGAAGATTTCTGGCTGTGCTGTCTAATTGCCGAGTCTGAATTTTCTTTTGTACAGACTTGCTACTTAGTCTGACATACAAAGCTGTTAGCAGTAAACAATAAGTATTTAGTAGTATGTCTCCTTGAGTGGCACCATCTTGCCAAGGTTTGTGTACTTTGCTTATATGCAAGTTTTCTGTACTGGCAAACCTTTACATGCTTGGATTGGAAAGCAAACATATCTGTACAAATCTCTTCCATACTGTAAAGTGTGGCTGTTTGTTTTGTTAAGTATTAGGCCCATAATTTTTTTTTTTTTTTCCTACAACTGTCTTCTCAGCAAGATGAATGGAACTGTTCAGTGTAAATTGGATGGATTCTTTCCTTCGTAATTAAACTTCACTTAAGAATCAATCTTACGAAAAGAGAAATTAATGTTTTGTTTTAAAAATAGCATGCATTAGAGGGCATTGTAGTAGCCTATTTGTGGACTCAGGTGTCTGCAGCTTAAATCTTAGAATTGGATTAATTAGCAGGAGGAATATGTGAGATCTATCTGCTTTTAGGCTATTCTGATGTATGCTGAGCTCAGTGTGATTTTTTTGAAGATACAGTTCACATCTGCTTGCTTCCTTGTAGGCAAGTGGGATTTCCAATTAAATGCTCCTTTGTAGATGATGGAGCATGACTCTGAGTTCTGCCTTTCAGGAGCTGAGTACAGTGAAGTGATATTATAGACTGTGGAGAGATTGTTGTTTTGGTGGTGTGGTTTTTTTTCCCTCCTTTAAAATGAATACTAAGCTCTCCAAAGTACAGAGTAGCAAGGAATCAGACCTCAGGTTTCTCATGTGTAAATCAGATTATGCACAGGAAAGGTAAGTAGGGAAAAGGGTTGAAGCTCAGTAATGGTATTTATTTAAAATGATGACTTCATCTTATTTTGTTTTCATATAAAAAGAATTACACTTCAGAAGAGATGTTATAATTCTATGTCCCTGTTAACTTCTGATTTGGTTTTTGTTTTTTTAAGTTGTGTTTATGTTCCTTCAGGTGACTGAGATCTTTTCTCTGATTAGTCTGAGTCATATTTAAGTTAGCTTAGTGATTTTAACATCAACAGTTTTTGATTTAGCCTTGTGAATTTGTTTAATTCAAACCAAATGGTTACTAGAAGGAAAACTAATAACTTTGCTACAATACTTAGCTGATGTTACAGCTTTTTTTAATATGTCACTAATAATGATAGCAAGCATTTTTAGTTTGTTTTTTTTTTTTTTTTTTTTTCTGGGAGAGAAATGCTGTGTTGTTTATTGTTGGATTTTTTTCTGCCTTTTTACATTTGCTTCCTTTCTTTCCTTTTTTTTTTTTCTAGCATAGAATTTACATCTGCTCTTGTTAGCAGTTTTTGGCAATCAGCAGGAAAGTGGTGCATATTCCTTCTTTTCACCTCTTCCACATTTTTCTGTAGGATGTAGGAGTATGTTAAGACACTGGAAGAGGTGGCTAAGTGCAAGTATTTCCTCATGGACTTAAGACCAAAGTCAACAGAATGCCATTGCTCTTGCTCACTGCCTGGATCTACTTAAATTTGTGGAACCAATTGAGATTTTAAAACGCAGAGAGAAATGGATGCGTAAAAATCTAATCTTTGATGTAGCAGAAGATGCATCTGTAGTGAACAGAAGTCAGTTGCTCTATTTTCACTGTACGCTTTCATTTAGTTTATCTAAAGATTTGCTGCACTGAAAACCGTTTGATGGTTTTCAAACCATTGCATATTTAAAAAGAAAAAGCTTTTTGATTCTGAACTCCATGCAGTCTGATTACTGCTTAACAGTAATCTTATTTATAAATAAATATCTAGTGACAGTTATAAATACCAAGTTACCGAATTTTCTAATCAGCTGTGTTTGTAATATTGAATTTTATTTAATAATTTTTTATATTTGAATAATGAACTCTAAAGTATGGATGCAAATGTTCTGCTAAATAGCTATTATTTTAGTCCAAACTGTAATACATCTGTGTTGATAAGACACTGCTTTAGAGGCTTGAGATTAGCTTTTGTTCAGTTGTTGGCTTCTAATTCCTATGAAAATAAATTTTCTTTACATCATACTACTTAGATTCTTTTTTAAATCTGCGGGTTTAGGTATGCTAATGTGTAAGGAATGTGAGTCTAGATTGATATTGATATGTTTGTACATAAATGATTTGTACAGTCTCATTCTAGCATGACATATATATAAGGCATGCCTTGCATCTTTTTGTAACCACGGAACAGTGCGTAGTCAAAAAACAGGAGTGTTTTCTGTTACATCTGCAGTTTCCTTTCCTTCTAGTATTAGTAATTTCTGCTTTTCTTTTCTAGGGGATACTGTGGAGTTGTTTTAAATTTCTCAGTGAATTTCCTTTTGTTGGGATTAAGTTCAGAATAATTTTCAACTAAGTTTTGTCAGATTGGTGAAAACTTCAGAAGATGAACTGAACCTAGCATTTCTGGAATTATTCTTATAACCAGAGAATCTAGGTTTAGTTCCTACCTATTAGAACAGTGTTTTTGGAAATAACATTGTGGACTCGATGCTACATTTCAGTAGGCAAACCACATAGAGGTAGATTAAACATAATATAGCTTGCTTTTATTAATTTGGACTATTTCCTAACTGAGAGTTAAGAAAACGAGAAGAGACTGGCCTCAAAAGAACTGAGGTGAAAGCTGACCCCTGGCTTCAGTTTCTTTGAACTGTTCCGTGGACTTCTCAAGACTGAGAGCAAGAGAATTCTGCTGTAGTTTAGAAACTTAAACAGCTTCTCAGAAGTTAGAAGCTCTTGCAACTATTGTATGAGCTAGGTAGTGATTTTTTTTGTGGCAGTCAAAAGTTTCCAAGGTGAAAGCCGTGCTTCATAATTCTTAAGTAATTTAAGTGTGAATGAGATACTTGGTTTTGTGGTCTATTATTCTGAACTTTAATGTAAGGCGCTTATATTAGCATCTTTCAAAGCTAGATAATGGTAATCAAATTCACAGACTTTAAAACCTGAGTCATGGTGTTATACTGTTAGAACTGCTGAGCTCCTACAGAAGTACCAGTGAAGTTTTTCATGTATGATAGCTTCTTTTGTGTAAGTTAATAGACTTTGAACTCCATCAGTTGTCTTAAATAGTCATTGAGCTTGTGAGCACATTAGCAGTGAGTAGAATGGAAAAATAAATGCCCATTCTTTTCCCAGAGAGTAAGGAGACAGTACTTCTGGAGGGTCAGAGAGGAGGAAGGGTATACCTAAGAGATTGTCACAGAGCAAATAGGAATTTGAATCTGACCATGATCTAAAGGGAAGAGTAGTTCATTAAAATTTTTTTTTTCCATTCATCTCTTAACAGGAATTCTGTCCAGCATGTTTTCTGGGTGGAACTGGGCGGTCCATTGCTTGTATCTGTTTTTGAATATTTGTTCCTTTGAAGGTAAGTCATCTATCTTAAGCATAATAGATTTACAGAAGTTCTTTAATTGGATGCTTGAGGCACACATCTGCTTTTTCTTTAGTTATGTGTGGCAGATTTGGGGCAGAAAATGAGAGATCTATTGATATCTAGGCTATGTTCTTAATCTTGCAGTGAAGTAATGCAGTGCTTAACTAATACTCAGCTCTGCTTCTGGTTACAGCTGTTTAATGTAAAGAGGCAGAGAAACTGACTCGCATCAGTAACAGCTTGCTCTGTAGGGTCACTGTAGCAGACTGCAGTGGTGGGTTAGGTCCTATAATGTGATTTCTGTAATTTAAATGCAATATTGCTTCAAAGTTGTGGGTTTTTCAAAGTTGTTGGTAAGGTGAAAGCTTACCTTGATCAGACTAAGCGGCTGTTAAAGCAGTAAGCTTTCAGTGAATTAGTTGTGGTCTCTGTCATCAACTGGAACCATGGGCCACCTCTGTTGCGTGGGAAGTGATCATTCTAAAGATGTTTTCTGTGGCTGTTTAATTAAGGTAGCATTTCAGTCATCTGATGTTTAATCTAAGAGCTGACGTTTGTATGCCTATATAGCAATAATCACAATTTTATTGCTAATTGTTTAAAAAAAAAACATGTCTGTTTACATTCATTCCCAAATACTATTGTACATAACAATGATTCTGAAATAAGTAACTCCAAGTATTCAACTCAAGTATTTGCATGTGATTCTTCTACAGTTAGTCTGCTGCAACAAAGGTGCACACATCAGATCTTGTTAACTCTCAACAGAAAATAACTTCTTATATAACTTCGGTTTCTTTGCCCTTCAACATATACTCAATGTTTCTGTCCTTGACTTTTCTCTCAGTCTCTTTAAAAGCCCGTGGTTATTAGTTGAGATTTTCCTTCTCGGTGGAACGTTTTTTTGGAAGCCTAAGTAATGGTAGGCTGGTTGTGCCCCTCAGGTCTGTTTTATAACGGTCAGGTAACTAGTTTCCTGCTTAGGCAGATGTTGTACTGTCTTCAATATTACAGCAGTGTTGTAGCAGCAATTGTTGCAGAGTGCGCTGTTGTTTTTTTACATGTTTTTTTTTTTCTAGTTTCAGGTGGACTTGTACAATCATGTGGTCACATCATTCCAGAGTCTCCAGTGTTGGCCATGGGTTCCAATTTCACAGCATTGTGCATTTTGAATGAGAGTTGCCTTGACTTTGGCAATATATATGCTAGTCAGATTATATGGAAAATGAAAAATAAGGTGGTACCTAAAGAACAATACCGTGAAATAAACGTAACTGTTTCTAGTGTCACATTTAATGACACTTCTTCTCTGGCTTCTCCACTGACATGCAACGTTTTAGCAGATGGACAGATTGAGCAGAATATTTATGGAATTTCAGTTACAGTAGGCTGTAAGTACTGGGTTTGTTTTGTTTTGTTTTGGAGGGGCTTAATTCTTGTTTCAATAGTAGCTCCCAAGAAAATTGCTTCTGTGGAAAAAGGGATAAGAATGAAAAATGTGTTCACCTTTGTGTTTATTTCCAGCCCCTCACCTTCTGGATAATTATATAAAAATACTACAAAATCTATGTCATCAAAGCTGGTGAATAAGCATAGAATAGTTTTCTAAAAAATGGAAAATATTCTGGAGTATTTCACACAGATAAAAGTGTTTAAGCAGCCTTGAATTTCAGAAAGAAGGTAGGAGTTTAACTGAGAAAAGGTGCTGAAGAGAAATTGAACTTTCCTTGATTTCTTTTTTCCCTCTCTCCCCCCCCACTGTGCAAAGAAGTGCAATAATTTATAAATACTACCTTCATAATAGCATAGTAAGCTTACTATTTCCTTCATTAGTGGACTGAGAAATATCTAGTCCATCTGTACCACTAAATTAAACCTTTAGAAGGAAAGATCCTTCTTGAATTACTGTACTCTTAGAGAAAGTAAATCCTAATTGTAAACTTTCTTTATTCAATCTAGATTGCGCTTGCATAGTTCTGAGCAGGTGTTCTTTGAGGCAAGACTTAGTTGTAATATTAATGACTTAACTGGTGAACGCTTCACAGAATGCTGGTTAAGTGTTTCTGTGTCCTGAATTTCCTTCCTGAGTATAGCTGGTGAATTACATTGCCTCCTACTGTCAGCAGAAGGTACTGGAATTACTCGGCTGCTCTAGCTTTGCTATTTAAGATAATACAATTCGGAGTTGTTATGAGTTGAAAAGATTTTGCAGAGAAGTAGTTTTTCATTATAAATCCTGATGAGTACATTTCTTCCCAAGAGAGGTGGAACAGATGAAATATAGGGAAAGTAGAGGACAGCTGGAATACCCTGTGATAAATTAAATGACAGTACAGATAACTTGAGTTGTAATCCACATGTGAATTTTGAGGTGCATAGTTGTTTTCATTCTGTTAGTGTCTTGTGAACAGTGAGAGAAACGGTATATTTCAGAACAGTACAAATACTGAGGAACAAAATTGTATGTTTGTAAGTTGGTGATTGCTTAAAATAGGATCTTGTGCTTGAAAAGAAGATAAATATATTAAAAAGAAGATAGATTAAATATATTAGACCGATGTAAATGGTGATATCCTAAAAGCTACAAACTCAGTGTTAGCTCTGTATGCCATTATTTGAGTTCAAGAAGCAAAAATAAATAAATAAAAATCAGCTGCTCTTGGAAAATTTCTTACATGCTATTGAAGTGTGCTGGTGAAGATTGTGTATCTTCCTTGTAGGTATCTGGGACTAAATCTTCCCTCTCCCATATATGGGTTGAGTGAGAAGAGATGTAACTATTACCTTATATCTCGAGTTATTGGCAAAGTCAGCATATGCCATTGCAGCTCAACTGCTCATCATCATTTTTGTTCCATGTCATTTAAAATGTGTAGGGTGGTAGATGAGATACCTGATACTTTTATCTGCCTTGTATCTGTTTGAGGCATTTGCCCCTGATTTTGCATGTGGTTTCTCAGAGTAGATGCTTAAACTTAGCGACTTTGGTTTTCCTCCTCCTTTAAAAATACATGTGATTAAAAATACTTCTGGTGCTTTTTGAAGTTGCTGTAATAGAATGTGTAGTATGATTCTTATGGAATTGTGTGCATGATGAAATGTATGTATTAATTATTGCTAATTCTTTTTGTACAGTGCCCCCAGAGAAGCCTGAAAACTTGAGTTGTATTGTGTATCAGCTGTCGAATCTCAGATATCCTATGAACTGTACCTGGAACCCTGGAAATCATACATTCCTGGACACTCATTTTAGGTTGAAATACAGGTGGTAAGTAGCTCTTTATATAATATCTAAACAATTTTAAGCAATTTTTGTAGACTAAACCAAACTTCCTTGAAGTTATTTGATACTTTGAAATCATTCTTAAATTCAGTGTTTTGAAAAATTGCTGCCTGCTTTTGAGGGGAGGGCAGAGCTAAAGCAGCTCACAGTAATTTAGAACTCCAACTTGAAATTTGTTTACTGCAGTCATTTTACAGCAGTAGCATCTTAATTTTTCTGTTCTGAAGTATATAAGATAGTTTGAGTACAGTACACCTAATTGTTATGTGGGTGGATCCAAAATATATACTGTTTTTCTTAGGTGATGGTTCTGTGCCATACTAAGCAGGTAAAGACAACAGCATGTAGTAACTGGATTTTGTAGTTGTTTACTGTGTATTCCTTAAGAACTCAGTGTTGTTGGTGAACAGTATAATCTTAATCTTCAGCAAAAATTTTTCTCCTGTGAAGTCAAATTAAAATGTTTTTCAAACTCATTCAGATGATGTCTTCTCATGTAAAGCAGAACAGACAGATTTGCAGTCCCTCTCTGGGAATAACTCCTACCGCTTCCCATCTCCCCTGGTTTTTGTAAAGTGCTTGGGTAATGAATGTGGTAGAAAGTATGAGTAGCTAGAAAACCTTAAATTTGAAAACTCTCTAAGGGAAATAAAATTTTATATGCTTTTCTTTACTTAGGTCACGAGAAAGCTTTCCTGACTGCATACCGAAATCTGTAAATAATTCTTGTACCATTTCTGATGTTCAGTTCTTTGTTAACCTGGAGGTCTGGGTAGAAGCGGCAAATGCTCTTGGGAAGGCTGAATCTGAACATCTTGTTTTTGACCCCATTGAGATTGGTAATCAATATCCCTATTAATAAAGTTTCAGTACTGTGCATGACTTCCATTCCTGTACATATTGCTAAACAGCTATTCATATTTTCAATTATAAATATAACACTTCTAAGTATTATTAGATAGAATAGAACTGTGCTGAACAAAAATCAGAATTTGGAAGATTGCTTTTAGAGCCAGAAGTTCTTAGGCAGCCTGCTTTAGAAATTTTTGTGAAATAGCAGCCATTTGGGCTTGTGGAAGGCCTTAATGACAGTGTTGCAGCACAGTGTGCTAATTGCTAGAGGCATGGAAAAATAATGCAGCTGCAGGGATGACTGTCTTCTTCTCTTCTAGTCAAACCACTGCCTCCACACAACCTATCAGTCAACTCAGGAATACTGCCTACTGTTCTGAAGCTTTCCTGGGAGAACCGGATTTCAGCAGCTGTGATGAAACTGAAATTCAATATTCGCTACAGGATCAGTAGTGATACAAACTGGATGCAGGTAACAAGAATGTCTCTTCTGACTATTCTGCTAACCTGTAAACCAGCACTAGTTTGTCAAACTACTGCTGAAGTTTACTTAGTGTTTCATCTCATCTTGTAATTTATGTGGTAACCGAACAGTTCATTTTGCCTATTTTTACCCATTTGATGCAAAATTACTGATCTAAATGTAGCTTAGAATGCTGGGATGCTTTTTTAAACTGGTTATAGCTATAAGAATATGGTACAACAGTCTGATTGTCTTGCATACATGCCTTGAGCTTGACACAGTCACAACCGGAAAAAATGAGTGTGTGTCATACGTGTATAATATGTTCATGTCCTCAAGAAATTTTTTTCTTTTATGTCATTCCCTGGCTGTATCTTCAGTAGTTTGTCAGTTTTTCCTTTCTTCTTAACATTCTCCGAGCAGTGGTATTCCAGAAACTCTTTTTTTAATAAAAAATTGTCCAGTTTTTGTTTCACTATATAGATCCAAAAGTATTTTGAATTTTGAGACTTCTTGAAAAAGTAGTTGATGTTAGCTTCACAAAATACAGTGTTGGATCAGGTAGCATAGCAAACTGCTTGTGACTAGGATAGTGTATCTCATTCAAGGAACATTTGCTTTAAATGCAGAGATTTACAACTTAAGGTTTCCTGTATTGATATTTCGTGCAACACTGTTCAGTACAGTTTATCCTGCAACTTCAGAATTTGTTGATCTGTTGTACTATTAAGTCTTTTTTTAACTTCCCCATTTAACATATTGAATCAGAAGTGTTTGATTAAAAAAGAAAAAAACTCCAAAGACTCTCACTTACATGTAGAATTACTTGTGCTGGAATCAGTGTGTATGAAAACATTAATCTGTTACCTGATATGTTTTTCTGTTTATACAGTAAGATTTTTTTTTTGCATTCAGTTGCCATCTTAAAAGGAAAAAAGAATTATGGGGAGAGAAATTCTTTTATTAATAAAGTTCTACACTGCTCTAAAAGAAAATGCCAGACTTTCAAAATATCTCAAAGTATTTTCATGTCAATTACAGGAGACTGGAAGTAATGATCTTGCGTACTCTAGCTTGATAGATGCCTTCTAGCACAGGTATTCTGCGGTGGTTAATCCAGGAGACACCCATCCTCGTGTTTCAGAGCATTACATATCAATAAGAGGAGTTACAGGAGAAGGAAGAAACTTTGTATTCCTTATGTTTATGAGAGTTGCACAAATATGAAAAGATTCAACAGAATGTAAGAGTTATTCTGAGATAGCTGCTTGCCTGTTTTTGTATATATGCTTCATGATGCACCTGATAAATATATAGAGCTGTGACTGAGCTCCTACCACATCACTGGTTGAGAATTTAAGCTTTTAGAAATAAAAGGGACAAGAACAATGTTGTATTGATCCTGTAATATCGTGTTTAAGCTGTTTGAAGTGGATACTACTCTTGAATGTGAAGCTGTAGTAGTGCAGGACTAAATTTTCTTTTTTTGATCAGCTTGTAAAATCTTCCTTCCTTTACAGGTTCCTCCTGAAGATACAGCTTCACCAAGGACTTCATTCAGCATTCAAGGCCTCAGACCTTACACAGAGTATGTCTTTTCAATTCGATGCATGAAGGAAGATGGAGAAGGGTTTTGGAGTGACTGGAGTGAAGAAAAAGTTGGGGTTACAACTGAAGATAGTAAGTAATATACCAAAACTGATTGCCAACTTTAAAAATATCTGAGTGCTCAGCAGTTTGACAATAGCCAATTGAAATTCTGCATCCTCATTTGAGCTATTTGATTTGATATGATTGATTGATATGCTTGATTCTGCAACACAATCTGTTTCTGTATGAAAGCTTTCTTTCAATAGAGAGAGTGCCTTAGTTCATGAACAGTTCAGAGCTAAGGAGGCCATCAAATAAAGTAGTAAGTGAGCTAGCATCACTTAATTATGAACAAGAAGATTGTTTTTCAAGCAGAAGCACTTGAAAAAAGAACATGCATATGGAAGTGTGGCCTCTTGTTCACTGAAGCATGTAAATAGAACACTGTTTTAACTTTTCCTGCATCTGCTACTCTTTCTTGTTTGTCACAGTACCAAGGCCTAGTTTTGCAGTGTCTTGCATCCACTGATTTATGATACACTGCCCACAATTGCTACATCTTGCTGCTCATCCTTAGTCAGGTAGCCATTGATATGGGTGGTCTTAAAAAAGAGAACACCGTGGATAAGTCACTGTCTTTAAGCAAGATTGAGCCTATGTGAAGAATGGCTTTAGTTGAGCAATATTTAGTCAAAAAATGATTATTTTGCCACAGTTTCTATTTTTTTATGATAGTTATTGATTTTGTTGAAATCCTGTAGATCTAGATTTAAGGTATCCTTTCCCTTTGCAATATGGCTGAAAAGGGATTTGCTGCTATTGTGAGTTAGTGAGGAAGATGTTTTACCTGTAGCAGCTCTTAAAGGGCAGTGTTCATATCATATTCAGTCTTGCCATAAAGGACTTGGCAAGCAGGATCATAGAACCATAGAATTGTAGAATGGCTTGGGTTGGAAAGGATCTGAAGGATCATCAGGCTCCAACCCCCCTAACACATGCAGGGCCACCAACCTCTGTATCTCACACTAGGATGTGCATAGTGTCTAATTTACACCAAATATTTCACAATTAACAAACACAAAAGATAGGGCATATTTAACCAGTAGGCTAAGTTTTAATTTCACAGCCCTAGTGGGAAAAAGCTGCTGAGGAGTCAAAGGTCAGCCTCCTCAGCTTTGCAGGACGAATACTCAGCATCATGTGTAAGGTCCATCCACACTGCATCCAACTGATAAACTTGACTGGCCATGGCCATTTGGCTTTTTGCGGTGATTCAGTCAGCTGTTTGTCTCTTGTTAATAAACTGTTCTGTATTTGTGCTATTTAATCATAGACTGTCATATTCCTTCCGGACAATAGTACTAAGACTGTCACTGCACTGGGGCATCTTCCATTAAAATACGTATTCAGTGTATTCTGTATTTCGTAGCAGCATTGTTTGGTTCCAGTTTCTCATGAACACGTGCATTATTTGAAAAGTAGCTACACCTCACCTTGCTACTGTATGTATTAGCTTTTACAGCTAATGGAAGTAATTTCAGTATATCCTGCTAGTGAGGCAGTCCTGCAAGTTTGTGTTTAAGTACGGTGGCGGTTCCTTCTGCCACTGAGTTTTTGCCAAAACTATTAGTTGAGCATACTATGTTTAGCATTTTTCTGTTACGTATTTTTATTGTTTTGTAGCACTTTATGCCTTAGCATTTCCTGTAGCAACTGTAAACTCAAATTGCAAAACAGTAAGTGAGCAATAATTATTGGAACACTGATATTAAAATCACATCCATATGATTGTTACTGCAAAACCTTCTAGGATATAAGGCTGGATTCTTACATTTTTTCCATCAAATGGAAAGCAAGCTGTGAAATGTGTATACAAACACAGTCTAAATCTATGCGTACTGCTGTTTAATGGGACAAACAAATTTCTAACAGTCTGCTGCACTGTGTTCATCCACAAGATTTGAACCATTGTCTCCAGATACAAGCCCAGACTTTGTTGATGTTCATCAATGTTCTGTGATCCATTGAACATTTGTCATTCATTTGGATGACCCATCTGTTAGAATGGACTGGAACTAACTTAAGAATGTTAAATATTAAATATATCTTTTAAGAGGTGCAAAATGCTATCTTCTTGAATCTGAACCTCTGTTGGTGTCAAAACACCTTGCAATGATATGTTTCTTGCTACAGCTAAAGTGAACTAATTTCTTGTTATGGTCTGCTGTGCTTTTAGTAAGTGTTAATATAGTCTCTTCTGTTCAACAAATGTCTGTAGTTGTACCTCCTAGTGAAAACAGAATATTCATTCTTCCTTTGTATTGCTTGCTAATTAGTCAGTACTTTTGTTACTTATAGATTAGTTGAGAGTGAAACTCTGTTCTGAGTTTGCTTACATCTTCAGTGGTGGTGTCACCTCCTGCAAATAGCTAGATAAACTTGCAAATATGTAGAGTTAAAAGGATAACTTGAGCAGGAAAGAACTTCAAGAAGTCTCTCATTCTATTTATCTTTTTTTTTATTATTATTACTAAGTGCAAGGCTCAGACAAGGAAATCCAGTTCACAGGATCAGCAAAACCTATATGAAAGCTACACAGCTACCTGCTGCAAATGTTAAATGAAATGGCTGGATGTTTAAGTTACTTCTGCCATTATTATTGCCTGTATAATCAAATTAGAAAACTGAATTTCAGGCAGTATGTTTTGTTTAAGACTGTTAGACCAGTATTCTAGAAAATTGCACAGTGCTTACATTCTGTGTTCAAAATGTCCTGGTGACATGCTACATTAATGGCAAAGACACAAATGTATGGTATTGATGCTGAACAGTAATGTGAGAATTCTGACAATTTTGAAATGATTTAGCAGCTTTACTTCATAATCCTTATCAGGAAACATATATTTTGTACCCACAAATAGCAACTGTAGCTAAAGGTATTTTTGTCCAGCAGAAGAGACTAGCTATGTAATTGTGTGTATTACAGTTGTATATCTAGTGATTTCTGGGGATTGCAAGAATAAGTTACCTTCAGAGCAAATTGATTTTTAGAAGCTTGATTGGTTTCCTTGTAAATCATCAGCAGCAGAATTGGAAATCACATGCTGATTTCTGGCTTTAAAGAGAAATAAGCACTGTTGGGATTTTAAGCCTTATTTCTCAAGTAACTTGGTTATTACTAGTTAGGAACTTCTCCAATTCTTGCATTGTGAGGTGTGAAACCATTGTAGTTTGGTTTGGTTCTGTTTCATTTCTACTTTGCAATGTTAGCTTTATATCTGTTCCATAATGATCCTACCCAATACGAAGACAGTACACTGACTTCTACTTCCATACTTGATAGCTGACAGGGAACCTCTTTTTTTCCTCAGAACAATATAAACGCTTTGTGGTATTTGTTTAGCTTCTAAGTCTGTTTTTTTTTTTTTTTTTCCCCTTCTCTGTGCTTTTAGTCTTTTTTGATTGGTCTTCCTTTGGCAGTTTCTAATTAGTTCTTTAGTGCCTTCCAAGTACTTCAGTACATCTGTCTCTAAACAGTGTAAAAACAGTAAAGAATTTTATTTCAAAACACTACTGCACTGGGTCAGAAGTCTGTCCTTATTTATCCTAACTAGCTCTTAGGAAATGAAGTTTTAGGTTGAGTATACATTTGAGCAGAAAGAACACTTGTAGGTAGAACCTGCCATTAAGCAGAGTGGAATTTGTAAGTATGAAATGACTTGCCTTACTTGCCTTCAGCTCTAGTCAAAAATTATTTTTTTCTGGGGAGGTATTATAAAAATATTCTTTCAATAGCCTAGCCACTTTTTTCAACTTCAGTGACAGTGCTTTTCTGCTTTCTGTTGCATGGAAGAGATGTGTTCTGTGGTTACTGTCTCAAACTGAGCAATGGGAGTTTCGAATTTCCTGCTTGCTAGACTGCATTGCTGCTTGGCTGTTGCAGCTTGCTTTGCAAAGGAAAAAAGTAAACCGCTGTTAGTGATTGAGCATCTATATTTTATTTTAGCCTGAGAGCCAAGGTGTTAATGTAGAAAAAGAACATAAGGCAGGTCATGTTGCAGTCGTGATCTGCATTAAGTGAAGTATTTGTGTGTACTGCTTCCACTTTCTGTGAATCAAAGCTGTGTACTGAAATAAGATAAAGAACTTGACCTCATTTCCCAGCTCTTTCCTCCTGATGTAGAGCATAAGAGGCACAGGCAAGATGCACCCTGTAGACTTGACATCACTTTTTAGATGTGAAACTGCCAAAACTTGTAATTATTAACTTTGAAAATGCAATAAAAGAACTCCCACACAAACACAGTCTAGCAAGATTATAAATCTAAATGCATTTCAAGACCTATTTTTTCCCTTGTGGTTGAAGTCCTTGCCAAGAGTTAGCCATTTTTTCTTACTTTATGCACTATGATAGATTCATTCTGTGTTTAATTGAAACTTACAATGGAAATACTGCTTAAATTTCTAATGGTACTGACAGCAAAAACTATTGTAGCATTGTGCAAAAAATACTGCAGTTCTGTTATTCAAATTCCTCCAGTGTTTTTGTAATAAAAGGGTATTTTTTCATGGGAGAAACCAGTCTCCTCATTAACTATTCTGTAGTTGCCATTTTGAGGTGACTTGATGTTGAATGGTAGGGAAGGTGTAGTGGTTACCAAGTGCAGTAAGGTTGTCAGTATGCAGAAGCGTGGTATTGTGCTTCTGAACACAAGCTGCACTTTGTGGATTTAGCTGTGCCTTAGCCCTGACAAGTTTGGCCATTGTCACTGATGCTCAGTGTGGTGATGTTCACTTTGATATTGTGAGTTTGGAGCAGAACTGGTATTTCATTCATCCCTTCAAGAAACCTTTCCATTAAGCTATTTCACTTAACGCATCTAAGCCTTCTTTCATCTCAGGGAAGTAAGGAAACAACTTTTTTTTTTTTTTTTAAGAACCGTCTAAAGGGCCAACCGTATGGAGGACCATTGATGCATCTCCTTCACCAGCTTTTTGGACTGTACGACTGATGTGGAAGGTAAAACAATGTGCTAAACTGCAGAAATTGAATATTATTTTAAAAATGATTTTACGTGGAAACTTACCTCAACAGATTTAGCAGATATCTGAGATTGAACAGTTATCGATACAAGAAATAACTTAATTTTTTCATAACTTCTTAATCTAGTATGTTGAAAGTAAGATTTTAAGGCTTGTGAGTAATCCAGAATCCACTTCAAGATTTCCCTCTTGCTGTCTTCCTAGGCATTGTGTGGAATTGGAAACTCCCTTGCACATAGTAAAGTTTGACATTCCACCTTCTGATCTATCATACAGGAATCCTTCAGCTGCAAAATCCATTAAGCCTAGAAATATTCCAGAGACCAGCCTTATTAAATATAGCTCTGTGTGTTTGCATGGAGTAGGCTTACTGTGAAAGTGAATGCAATGATCAATCCCCATCTCCTGCTTTCTTCTGGTTTCTGAACTTTGTTATATTTGATCTAGCTTTCTTTTATTAGTATTTTTCTCTTAATAGATGCCTTAGGTGAACTTCCCTGTATGTGGATCCTTTTCTGATTTAACTTGTATGTGATATGCCACTCTGACATTATTAATTAGCTTAGAATTGGAAAGCTGGTGTTACTTAAGTTCACCCTATCTAACCATTTTCTCAATGTTCACTGATAGTTAATATTGTTACAGATAATATAGACACAAATATTTTTCTACTTATAATAAAATTGCTCATTCTGTTTTGCATTTAAGGTCAACCCAATCTATAAAATGAAATTCTTTTGATGTCATTATGTTGTGAAGTTGTAGAAAATGTAGTTTTTTTCCACACAGCGTCAGAAATCTTGACAGAGGTGTTTTTGTTAGAGAGCTGGATAGGATTACGAGTCAAGTGAGAAGATTTAAACAAGAAATAGTTCTAGAGAGTACTGTTTTACAGAAATGAACTCTAAAGCCATTTGCAATTCTCTTAATCATGTGACTTGTTTATATACGGGTCTTTCTCTCAGTTCTAAACCATTAAACTATGCTTCGAAGCTAATAAAGGTTGTCACATTTGTTCAGTATTGATATAACAAAAAAATGTATTTTTGACAGGCACTAGAGCCATTTGAAGCCAATGGAGTGATCTTGCAGTATGAAGTGACTGTCAGAGCTAAACCACCCCTCTCCCATCCGCCATGGAGGTACAACGTTACTACCACAAGCCTTACATTAAAGCTGCCAAATGGAACTTACGAAGTGACTCTGATTGCACATAACAGAGTTGGGGCATCCCCTCCATCAGTTCTGCTTATTCCATCAAGTAATTCAAAAGGTTAGTGTTACAATAACTTCTCTAACATTCAAATGCATAGAATAATAGAATCTCTGTGTCTTCCCTGATTTAAAAAAAAAAAAAAAATGTTCAGTGTTGTAAAATTATACCTTTTACATTAACATAGAGTTGTAATACTGTTAAATGCGTGTGCGCTCTTTACTCCTTCTAATTATGCTGCAGTTTGAACACAGGCTGTTCTGAAAGTAATGCCTCCTATTTTAGAGTGCTGGTCTGTGACATCAGAGACATGTTGGTGGATGGGGCAGAAGTAGAAGTTGAACCTTCCAATATTCCTTTACATTTCATTGTTGCGTGACTGGTGGCAGCAGAAGGAAGGTCTGACAAACTGGCATGTGACATGGAAGTGCTTATGAAGCAAAGATGTGTCATTTAATTCTTCCAGCACAGCTAATGGTGGTAACTGTGTTCAAAAACAGTGTTTTGTAGCTATTTGCTCTACCAAATAATGCTATTGTCCTCTTTGTAAATGTTGTGGTTTCCTTGGGAATAAATAATAGAATCATAAAATCACCGAGGTTGGAAAAGACATCCAAGAGCATCCAATCCAACCATCCACCTATCACCAGTGTTTTCCACTAAACCAGGTCCTTCAGTACGACATCCAAATGTTTCTTGATCACCTCCAGGTGCAGTGACTCCACCACTTCCCTGGGCAGCCTGTTCCAGCACCTAACCACTCTCTAGGAGGAAAAAATACTTCTTAACATTCAACCTGAGTCCCTGTGGTGCAACTTGAGGCCATTCCCTCTAGTCTTATTGCTAGTTGTGTGGGAGAAGAGGCCAGTCTTCACCTCACCACAACCTCCTTTCAGATAGTTATGGAAAGCAATAAGGTTACCTCTGAGCCTTGTCTTCTCCAGACTAAACAGTTCCAGTTCCTTCAAATGCTTCTCATAAGACTTGTGCTTCTGACCCCTCACTAGCTTCATTGCCCTTCTCTGAACATGCTCTGTGGTCTTAATGTCTTTGTTATAGTGAGGGGCCCAAAACTGAACGCAGTACTTGAAGTGCAGCCTCACCATGGCTGAGTACAGGTGGATGATCACTTCCCTGTTCCTGCTGCAGCGCTATTCCTGAAACAGGCCTTGATGCCTTTGGCCTTCTTAGCCACCTGGGCACACTGCTAGCTCATGTTCAGCCAAGCATTGACCTAAACCGCCATGTCCGTTTCCTCTTCCAGCCACTCTGCCCCAAGCCTGTAGCAATGCCTAGGGTTGTTGTGACCAAAGTGCAGGACCCAGCACTTGGTCTTGTTGAACTTCATCCCATTGGCCTCAGCCCAGCTATCCAGCCTGTCCAGCTTTCTCTTTAGGGGTATCCTACCCCCAGGCAGGTTGATGTTTCCTGCTAACTTAGTGTCATCTGCAAATTTACTGAGGGTGCACTCAGTGCCTCCATCCAGGTCATCAGTAAATATATTAGAGAACAGGCCCCAGTGCTTACTCCAGGGGAGCACTGCTCATGAGCAGTTGCCAGCTGGTTGTAGTTTCATTCATCACTTCTCAGCCTGGCCTTCCAGCCAGTTTGTTACGCAGCAACGAATGTACCTGTCCAAGCCACAGGCTGCCAGCTTCCCCAGGAGAGTATTGTGGGAGACAGTGTCAAAGGCTTTGCTGAAGCCTAGGTGGACTACATCAACAGCCTTTCCCTCATCTTCCAGGTGAGTCATCAAAGGAAATCAGGTTGGTCAAGGAAGACCTGCATTTCATGAACCCGTTCTGGCTAGATCTGATTTCCTGGCTGGCCCTCACATGCCATGTGATCTCCCTCAAAATGATCTGCTCTATAACTTTTCTTGGCGCTGAGTTCAGGCTGACAGTGGTTCCCTAGATCCTCTTTATGACCCTGCAGGTAGATGAGATTCTAGCAGGGTATCTCCCTTAGTAGGCTCTCCTACCAGCTGCATCAGGAAGTTTGTCTACTGCACAATGAGTTTCAGCTCTTCCTGTTTGTTGCCCATGCTGTGTGCATTGGTGTAGATGCACTTCAGCTGAGCTGCCTGTCTCAACTCCAGTCCCATAGTCTTTCCCCTAGGCACATTTCTAGCAGGCCTGGTTTTATCCTTCCTCTTCTCTCTTCTTACGAGCCCTGCCAGCTCCTGGGATAGGATCCTGCTCCCCCTTTGAGACAGGTGAGACCCATCAGCAGCCACCAGGCCAGGTGCTGAGTAAACCATCCCGTGGTCAAAAAAGATGAAATTCTTGTTTGCATCAGCCTCGCAGCCACGTGTTTATGAGATTGGCTTTCCTTCTTCATTAAGTATCATTCACTGCCACTGAAGGGACAGAGGAAACTACAGCTTGTACACCCACTCCATCCACTAACTGCCCCAGTCCCCTTTTAGATAATCCTCAAGCTTCTCTCAGCAGCTTAAAAAAACTCCAAAAATAGGAGGCATTACTTTTGGAGCAACTTACATATACCGGAATTCATGACTATTTTATGCATTCATGAATTAATTGCAAGATATGTGTGTTATTTTACTGCTCTTTGTGGTCCACAGAGCAACTGTGCACTGTATTTTTTATTTCTTCTAGAATAGCAGACATTTGTTTTCTAAAAATAAAATATTTGGGGAAGCAAGTGTCATCTACTCTGTGCATATTCAGTTTAGCTATTGTTCTTCTTCCTTCTGCTTTGTGGTATTCCCTCCCACTCACCTCCCCTTTCTGATCCTGTCCTTGTCTTACCCTCTGGTGTTTCCTGTATCTTGTGAAATGGTGGAAGCAGACAACTCTGTTCGTTTTCCTTTTTATCGTGTTCCTTTTATTGCGCACTGGTAGTAGTAAATGCAGGCTGGTTTCTTCTTAATGCCCTCATCTGCTGAATCTAGCCTCTTACACTCTTACACAATCCAAGAATGAGGAGCATAGGTAACAAAAATTAAGTCATCAGTGGGTCTCATACTTGGTGCATAAACACTAGGGGAGAGCCACAGATTCTAAAACTACTAAATGACCCAACTAAAGATATGTTTCAACATAGTAGTATTGCAGCTGGAAGGACTTCATAAGGTACGAGAGTATATTGAGGATTGGAATGGGAATTTAGAAGGTCTGCAGATTTGATTTTACTATGAAACAGACCCTTTAGTTTGGAAGAAATATGGTAACTCTTTATTGTGCAATAAGACAACTTATTCTACAAAAGAAAAAGTGTGTCTAATTTACAGTTGTTGAATAGTGTTGTTTGTCTCTCTGATACAAATTCAAATGTAACCTTCTAAATTTCAGCAAATGATAACATTTTGTTAGGTTCTGTCAAGTTGTCACCATTACAATAATCAAAAGTATCTTCATTTGACAAGACAGCTGCTGTTTTGACTATCTAGTGGAAGAAATGTCACTAGTACTTTTCTATTTTCTTTCATTTCAGCTCCTGTGAGGAATATTAGAACACTACCTAAAGATGGCAAATTGTGGGTAGGATGGACTGCTCCTAATAATGTTCTTAAATACGTAATTGAATGGAGTCTGATGTCTAACAGCTCAGGTGGCATCACAGAGTGGCAGGTAGAACCAGGAAGCATTCAGGGAACATACTTAAAAGGTACTTGTCTTACAAATTTGCAAATATCTTGTAGAACACTAAGAACCTAGTGAATATTCTCAAAGGGAATAATATATTCATGGTAACTAGGTTTCTCTTTATAGGGTGGGAATCTGGAGTAATGCAGGGACTAGTCTTATTTTATCACAAGTATATGGAAATACCTATATTTTTGCCAGATCAACTCATTTTTACATTTTGAAATAAATTCATGTTAAACTAAAAGAAGTCTTACCTGCGTTTTGCTTTTAATCTCTTCGTTCTTGGGAGCGACTGAAATCATAAAAAGGATGAGGTCCTTCCGTATCAAATTGTCATGCATCTTTAGGACAAACAGTGAAACTCAATCAACTTTACTGTTCTGTTCAGATGGTAATCAGTGGCTCACATCTATAATTATGTGTTTCAGTGTTGTAGGCAGTTAAAGTCTTAATTAGAATGAATTAGGAAAACAGCCAGAAATCTCTGAAGTCTGCTTATACTTTAATGAATCACTTTTTCTCTTAGTTATTTCTTTGGAGCAATATGTAAATGAGCTCTAGAATAACAATCTACTGCATTAGTTATAAGCGCATTTAACAAAACAGGCAAGGCTTGGGACCCTGCATCTAAGGTAAATGGCATAGATAGTGAGAAATTTAACTCTCTGACACAACTTATCTTAAAATTCCCTTTATTAGGTGACATTAAGCCATTCAAGTGTTACTTGATAACTGTGTACCCTCTGTATGCTGATGGCCAGGGAAGTGGACAGTCTGTGAAGGCTTACCTTCAGCAGGATCGTGAGTACAGAAGTCACCCTGGAGCACATTCACTGACATCTTGGCTAAAATAGTGAAACCTTTGCTTTCATACATAATTGACAGTGGCTCTACACATAAGGGCAATCTGACATAAATTTGTTTTCCTCTATTTTAACATCCATTCTGCTAGTATACAGTATTTAATTAAATAGATGGCTTCGTATGAGTTACCCTTTGCCAGCACAGGATTTTGTTACTTTATCAACATAATATTAGTTCTTTGATTTATTTGAGATTCCAAGTCAGGAGTAATAGACTTTAGTGGAAGACTTCGAGTGCTGGTTACTTTTTCATGCATTTTTCTAGATATTCCTTTTAAAGCTTCTTTGAAATTGCTGTATTGCCTGAAAATAATGTTGTGTTAAAATAATGCTTTATAGATAAGTTAGCCCAGCTATTCTATTGAAGCTTTTATGAAATAGCAATCCAGTTCTCATTAATGCACTACTTTTATGGATGGGAGGATATGCAATAGAAAATAATGTTCATCTACCATTACAGGTCCTTCAAAAGGACCAACTGTTCAGACAAAAAAAGTAGGAAAAGCTGAAGCTGTTTTGACATGGAACCATCTCACAGTAGATGAGCAAAATGGATTCATCAGAAGTTACACAATACTGTACAAAACTGTCGATGGAAATGAAACAGGTAACAGAAGGCAGAGACATGCTTTGTGGTGTTGAAGTATTCAGTCTGTATCCTTCCTAATACATGTTCCTGGAAAAAAAGAAACAGCCTCAAGTATGTTTGTCAGTCTTATTCTGATGATATAAAGCTGATGTTAGAGGTGTAGCTCTCCCATGCAGTCAACAGAAGAAAGTTACCAATAAAGAATTAAGAACGTGCGGTCTTTGTATAACTGGCTGCTGAGTTTGGTTTCCAAAGGCTGATTGGCAGTTACTGTAGTCCATGTGTCTGTCTAAATACAGAACAAGGAGGCTATGTAACAAGATGGGCACAAGCTGGAACACAGGAGGTTCTGACTAACCATCAGGAGACCCTGCCAACCTCAACCATTCTGAGACTGAAGATGAAGCTAGACCATTCAGTCTGCGAAGGATTAGTTATTTATTTATTTAAAACTGTGTTTTTGCTTGAAGTGCATTTTCGTTCTTCATAGTCTCTATGAGCACCAGACAAAGACAGGGAGATGACACTGTAGAAAGGTGGGGTTTTTTAGATCTACATAAGCTGGAAGAGCAACTTACTTCTCGTTATCCACTAGATTTTTTTTCTAGCTAACTGTGTATTTTGCATATTAGAGGCCTTTAAGCTTTAGTTTTACTTTCAGTTTGCTTTCTGAAAAAATAGCAAATTGACAAATGAATTATCACATAGAAGGAATAAATTCAAACATGAACAGAAACAAATTAACCTCAGCATTCATTGTACACATTTGTAATCTTTCTGTGATGGTTGTTTTCCGTGCAGCCACACGTTGCACAGAAACTGTTGTTTCTTAAGATGTAATGTCTTAATGCCTTTGTGTTTATGGAAATCTAGTAAACCATACTGAAAACTAGTATATTTTTCTTCTCTTCAGCTGTGTCAGTGGATCCATCCAAGACAGAGTATACCCTCTCTTCTCTAACCAGTGACACACTGTATACTGTGCGGATGATGGCATACACAGATGAAGGAGGCAGAAGTGGTCCTGATTTTACTTTTACTACACAGAAATTTGGTAAGGAAGAATTGGGAAAAATCAACAGAAGTAGGAATTGATGTTGCAACAGTATAGAAGGGCTCAATTTCTAATCTGATAGGAGAGGAAGATGATTTAAAAAAAAAAAAAAAAAAAAAAGTATTTCAGTTGTTCATCATACTCACAAAGTGCAAGAAACTGTCTAACATTCAAGCACAAAAGGATATTTGACTTTTTTTATTATTTGAATTCGTGTACAGTTCCTTTGGGCTGTGTTTTCTGCATTTTTTCTGAATTTTCCTCATGTGGCAAACATGCTGGCTTGAGATGTGCTTCTCGTGTATTGCTTAGAGTACAGTGAATGGCCTGCTTTGTGTGAGTAATTAGAATTTTCTTAATGTCACTGTATCCTTATTGGATGGCTCCTATTCTTGTCTCAAAGACATTGTCTAGAATCTTTATTTTAATGTGAATGTAGGTTGCCTTCATTTGCTTTATTGGGGTGCTCTGCTAAGTTGCAGGTTTGGGCTGGGAATCTCAACCTGTTGATGTGGATGCCTGTCAGCACATGCCATTCTTTACAACTCTTATTCAGCTTCGACATTCCTATTTTAATGGCAATTAGTTTGTTACAGTTCTCTACAGAAACTCATTATGAAGAGTCAAACTTGTATGTGCAGATTTACAGAGCTTTCTGTTTATAATGGTAAGAGCAGCAATATTAGGTGTTTTTTTTTTTTTTTTTCAGAATAGTGTTGCTCTTCCCTAAGCGTTCTGTAAGGTTTACTTATAAAATATATGCATCATTTGGGAAGGGATACATGCCAACAATGCAGTTGTAAGTGTTTATAGGTAAAGGATGTTTTGATGTACAGAATAAACTGATAACTTACATTAGTTATTTGGTCATGATAATGATACGGCAAATGGTAGGTCTCTGAAACTGGACCACGGATGCATTCACTTAGAAATTGTATCTGCCTAAATTATAAAAATTATTTGTAACATTACAGAGCAATCTGTGGTTTTTATTGATGCAAGGCATTAGATTATTTGAACTGAGCTTTTCTTAAGTTTAAAAACAAGGATTTTTTTCCATAGAGTTAAGAGATTCTTCTGAAGCTGAATCTTGTGGCTATGCTATGTGTTTGGTTTCAGATTGTCCCTGCCTGTAAGGAACTGTGTGTTGCTGCTGATTTTCTTTTATGCCAAAAAGGGCTGTAAATGCTTTGTGTTTTCTTTTCTCAGGGAAAATGCTTTGTGTTTTTTTTCTCAGGGAGAGGAGAAATTGAAGCCATAGTTGTACCTGTGTGTCTAGCATTCCTGTTGATTGTACTCCTTGGAGTTTTGTTTTGCTTCAACAAACGTGACTTGTAAGTGTAAAAGAAGCCTTTCTTTCCTCTTCTTGGTATGTCTTGGTGTAACATGAGATATGGCAATAATTCATTATGAACATGTAAGTGTTCTACAGCTACTTTGGAAGAAAAAAGTAAAACATGTTATTAATAAACATCTTTGTATTTTTCTTGAAAAATCAAGGGCTTTTCTGTACTGATTTTGTTTATTACTGAGAATCATTATCACTGAAACAATGTCCCACAGATCAATCTTCAAGAGAATTTTGTGCTAGTCTTGGTTAGGGTTAGGTTTGTTAGGTTTTTATTAGGATATACCATCTGTGTAAGTCAGCAGATGAGACTAAAATGGTGTCTTCACAAATTACAGAATATTCTGTTTAACTATATTCAAGCTATTTAGTGTTAACAAACTTTAAGTTTACTCAGTTCTTATTTAGTATGTAGTGGCATATATCGTGTCCTCTTCCAGCTCATTTTATCTCAGAGTTCTTCTCTGTGGCTTTATCTGAGAGCTGAAGTGTTTTCCCTGAGAAAGAGCATCTCTTACATGTCCCCAGTCAACTAGCATTTCTTTCTGATTTAAAAAAAACTATTTGTCCTCCTCATTCTGACATCCCTGCTGCTTCTAAAATCAATTCTTAATGGACTATAGTTGAAAAAGCCATCTTGGAACATGTCCAAATTTTGTTTTTAGTTGTGAAGTTTGCTGTGATATTCATAGTTACCTCAGAATAATGAAAGTGTATGCTTATACCTACGTAGGTAATATTTTCTAACTAAATATTTGCTCATCCACATAGCAATAGATTATCCACATAGGAATTTAGAAGTGCATCTTTTAATCTTGTTTTTAATCTTCTGCAGAATTAAAAAGCATATCTGGCCTAACGTCCCTGATCCATCCAAGAGTAACATTGCTCAGTGGTCCCCACAAGTTCCAGCTAAGGTAATACTCATTTTTCCGCATCCTTAATTTTCCTGATATAGAAGACCTCAAACTAATCAGAGGGAGTCTTCTCCCTTCTGAAATACACAGAATTATGAGTTCAAAATAAGACTGGATGTAAGTTTCACAACATTATTATATGATACGGCTAGAAGATTTAATTGTCATGTAGGTCCAGTGTTGGAAATACATGATCCTTAGCACAAGTTCACAGCATAGAGCTTGAATTTACTAGTTTGGAGGGCCAAGCCCCGATTATTATACTCATTAATGGGAAAAGAATACTAATTAAACAGCTTATGATTCTTAACACTTTGTACAGTTAAGTGTGAAAGAGAGGGAGATCTAAAATACGGATGCTAAGTGTGGCAGAAAAATCTGTGCCCTGTGTGGGATGGATGACAAGAAATTCTGTTCAGTAAACTGTGTCTAACATCTTCTTAAGCTCTGATTTTGAACATGCTATTGAGAGTATGTGTGCATGGCCTCTGTACAGAATGGTCCGTACTGCATAGTGAATGGTTTTCTGTTTACAGTTCTTCAGAACAATTAAAAATTAGAGCAAAGCTTGCACATCCAGTTGCAGTGCTTAGAGTGCTTACGGAATTATGAATATAAAACAACATCTTTCATTCTGTAACAGATAGTTGGAGAGTATTGCCACGCTCAATAAGGAGGCAAACTGTATAAAGAATGTTGGAGTTACTACAGGAAAGGAAATAAGTTATTAAATATTTTGCTTGTTTTCAACTTAAATAACCTTCCTCTTAGGCAACATCCTTCTCTTTCTTTCAGCACAACTTTAGTTCTAAAGATCAGATGTACCCAGAAGGCAGTTTCACAGATGTGAGCGTCGTAGAAATAGAAGCTGATGACAAGAAGTCTTTTTCAGAACAAGATCTAAAACCTTTTGATTTGCTCAAAAAGGAAAAAAGTACTTCAGAAGGGCACAGCAGTGGTATTGGAGGATCCTCATGCATGTCTTCTCCTAGGCAAAGCGTCTCTGATAGTGATGAAGGTGAAACTACACAGAACACTTCAAGCACTGTGCAGTATTCAACTGTAGTACTTAATGGCTACAGAGATCAAACACCTGTACAAGTCTTTTCAAGGTCTGAATCTACTCAGCCTCTGCTAGATTCAGAAGAGAGATTAGAGGATCATGCTGGAGGGAGTGACGGTATGCCACAAAGGCAGCAGTATTTCAAACAGAATTGTGGTCAGGATGAAACCAAGACAGACAGGCCATTCTTGGAAAGAGCAAAGCAGATTATTTCTGCTAATGAGGAGGATCTCGCTGGGTTTGCACAACTGCAGATCTCAGGTCAGAGATCTCTAGGCTTCGATCTGGAAGAAGATACACAGGAAGCTCCTCTGCCGGATGTTTTGCAGACAAGTACTGAAGGACAAACTGTGAGACCTGAAACAGTGGAGGGAAACGTACCATCAGTTGATGAAATGCCAAAAAGTTACCTCCCGCAGACTGTGAGACAAGGGGGTTATATGCCTCAGTGAGAGAAGAGACTGGCTATATTAGGCCTTCGTTAGTGCCTGTTCACATTTTTTTTTCCTGTGTTTCTGATAAATTAAGCTAGGTATTTTTATCTGAATGCAGATAGAAATATTGAAATTAGGTGAAGAATAATTTGACAAAGTACAATAAGGACTATGTTTCCGTGGAAAATCTGCAGTCCAGACCTACTGGAGACTTACTTTTATGCACTACATGAAATCATATTTGTCTGAAAAGCTGAACAAGCCTATGTGCTACCTTGCTTTTTGTCTTGTCATATCCGATTTACGTATGATTGAAAATAGCAAGTTTCAGTTAATCACATTGGCCAACAGACCTCCTAGAAGAAATACTTTGATTTGTGACAGTGTACAAGCCTAAAAAGCCAGCTTTGGTTGCTTGGAGCATCTTTGTGCAAAAATGAGACTGAAGTTCAGTATTCTAAAGCATAAAAATACTGTATCATACACTTTTCAACAGCTTGATTAACCTTCTGAATTGACTTGGCCCAGTGTCACAGTTTCGGACTTACCAAACTCAAGTGTGCAAGTCATGCATCCCCATTTAAAACCTACATAGAAGTTGTGATGGTGTGCAGGTAAAAAATGCTATGATTGCTTGACTCTGAGTGCTACCATAGTCACTGATACTCCTTCTGTATTTAGATACGCTTGCACATGAAGTGTATAATAATTTGGCCTAGAAGTGTGCCTTGCTATTGGATGCACAACAGTTCAGCCTTTGTGTTTAAATGTTGAATCCAGATGAAAATGCAGACGAGGAATCAGTCAAAGATTTTTGAACCCCAGTCGCTTCCTGATGACACTGCATCTCTCCGGTCATGTTAATTGCCTTTGTACAGTATGTGCCCCCTTGGCAGTGTACTGCTTGAGAGATAAATAATGGGCTGACGGATTTCACAGTCCCTATAACTGCTCAGGAGAAGGGGAATAGGATCTTCTTCCTGACTGACTATGAAGATACAGGACAGGACAGAATTACAGGACTTCCTTGAAAGAGAACATAGCAAAAACCAAAGCGCTCAAGTCGTTGAATGCTCAGGGGGAGAAAGAAAAAAAAAAAAAAAGCAACTACCCTGAAATTGACAGTTACTGACAATATGAATCTGTTATCCAGCATAATCCACAGATAATATCTGTGGCTGCTAAAATTCCTCGTGTCTCAGTTCACCCTGTTCAGATGGTCTGTGCTTTATTACAGGTACATACAATTGCATTAATATAGCCCTCTTCCCTAATGATGAAATTTTACGACACTCTTGTAGATGTTTTTCTTAACTTAGTCTAGTCAGCTTTTCTAACTTGACACTAATAACCTTCATTCAAAACACTACATGCTGTTCTGTGAGAACAAAAAGAGAGTTTTAATTCTCCTTCAGCAGAAGGGAGACCTCCAGAACCTTTCAGTGCTGTGATACATGGTGCTGCTGTCCTGCAGAGTACTTACTAAAGGCCTTTGAAGAACAGATGGAAGTATGATGTTCACCTCTCATGCTTTTGTTTCAAAGAAACAGTGCTAGTGTGAATTCAGAATATGCTATTTGGGCTACTCAAAACAGAGTTCTTAAACTTCAATAACATTCAACATTCTGCAGTTCCTTTCTGCTTACAGTATTTTTCATGTATGGGCACTTTTTTTAAACTAAAATGTGACGTTGCAGGTTACTGTAACTGTACTTTTCTTCAGAACAGATCACCTTCCTTCCTCCCTATGTCACCTCAGCACATTCAGCCTCTTCTTGCAGCTGTCATGAGGCAGAGGAGGATGTGTCTGATTTTTCAAAGGCTGGAGGAGCATTCTTGTTGTCAGAATTTCCTCTTGGAAAATGGCAGCAGTGAGTTTGTGCATGGATGGATGTGTCTTCTTCAGTCAAACTTCATTGTGGCCATGGAAACCATGAGTAAAAGGGAAAGTCAGTGTGCATGCTTGCTCGAAGTGCCCTACAGCCACATGCTGTCTCATTCACCTTCTGCTGATCTCTGAAATGTTTTGTGCTGCAATTTTTATGGCCACAGTCTGGCTGCTTAGCTTGAATGAGTGTTGCTTTAAACAGGCTATCTTTCATCTGTGATCCAGCAATACTAACTTTCAGTAACATATGTTATATCTGAGAGACCACTTCAGTTGTTCCTAAAGTTAGTGTTCTCTTTCCCTCATGTAGAGGGAAAGCATTTTGTTCTCAGTTGCTGTTAACCATGAACCATTTCCAAAGTAAGTTAAATTTTGAAGTGATTCCCTCTTTTCGGGGGGTCAGTGGTAATGAACTCACATAGTTGTGCAGAATATCCTGGCATGGGTTCTGTGTGGCAGATTCACTTTCTCTCTTTCTGTCTCATGCATGCATCTAGGAATAAAATTGCGAAGACGAAGCAGGAGATACTTGTGGGTGAACAGCTTACAGAAGCCACAGAAAGTCTGAGTAACAGGTTTGCTTACAACTTCATAAACCTTTGTGCCAAAGTGCTGTGTTGTACAGCGTTTGGGTTTAACGTTTTGTACTTAGTATGCATTACAGCAACAGAGCTGTATCTAAGAGTTGCACGCAGGTTTTAGAGGGTACGTAATGCATTTTATCAAGCCACTGAAATTCTCCGAATTTGGCCTCAACATGATAACTAAAGGAAAAGCTTTTTTTTCTTTTAATAACTATGGTGCACTTTACTAAATAAAAGCATTAATAAAATAAAATTATACTTTACTATTGACACTTTAGTGCCCATTTTGATTACCCAGACTGGAATTTTTCAAGTAGGGAGGGGATAATGGGTGAGAAAAGCATTCTGCTTCCCTTCTACAGCAGGTAGGCGTGGTGAATAAGGAAATGTTTCTCCTGTATAATCACACTTGGAGCTGCTTTCAGGCGCAGACTAACTCTTCCTCTGTTTGCAAGAAAAGTACTTATGTTATTTCTGTAGTGATGATCAGTGTGCTCTGTTAGAACAGGAGGTTGGTGGAGTTGATGCTGTGGCTGTGTTGGCTTGTTTCCATGGCACTTGGCATGGGAATATCTTCTGTTGCAGTGAAAAAGTCTTGGGGTTGTGTTTCTGCTTACTGTTTTAAGCTAAACTACCTGCTAAGCATCAGGCTAACAAGGGCGAAGGACAGCAGAGCAGAAATGTTCTTAAATTAGCTTAGGATTATCTGTGTGACAGCAGCCCAGCCAAGTGATAATTTATCCAGATTTGCAGAAACTTTGGCCATATCACTGGGGCACAGGGCCAAGTGTCCCCGTGGCTGCCCCTTGCTCACAAGGGCTGTTGTTCTCAACACTGGGAGAGCCCCTATGCCTGCCCCAGGGTTTGGCAGCTTAGGCTTTGACTGTAAATTGCGAGCACCACCAGATGGCTGTGTGAGCACACTGAGGGAGTGTGGGAGTCGTGCTGCTTTAACTTAGGTAACATATCTAATTAATGCCAGGTCTTAAATATCTAAGACTCACATCAGTATACACTGCTATCCTATTGACTTCACAATAGGATCTAGAAATTCAGAGCAACTCAGAACTGGTGTAGTCAGCCCCTCCAGGATGTGTATGCATTCAGTTGTGATTTATATGCATTAAAAGGGACTAAATAGACCAGTTTGTCTTCTGTGAGACGGTTTTGTGACTGAGACTAAGAGCTACTTAGGTACATTCCTTGAAGTGCATTAAAAAGTTCCACTGATGGCTGGATCCTAAAAATTCCCTGCTTCCCTATAAATGCTGATCTCTTGGCTAGATGGATACGTACAGGCATTTTATATTCCTGTATTTGCCTTTAATGTTATTTGGAAGCAGTTTATAACAGCAGAATTATCATGTCACCTGTGGCGGAGCAGCCCGCTGGCGATCACCTGCCCTCAGTATTGCAGGGAGCCTGGTGCAGGAGTCTGGAGCATGGCAGAATCACATACTCTCCAGCTGATCCTCCAACTCCCGTTTCTTTTCCCTAAAAGTGAAAGGATTCGTTAAGATGAAGCTAGAACGTGTGTATCTGCTTTCTCTGTCGTTCCCTTCATAGCACTTGTGCAATCTGAGCCATTCATAAGACAGAGCAGTGCTGACTCTGTGCGCAAGGATGCACATCAAGGCCACAGGACTTGTTGCAGACTACTCTAATGACTACGGCCAGAGCGCGGTGGAGTGGGCAGTGAAAACTGACGGTGTGCAGTGAGGGGCAGGGTGTGTGTGTGCAGGGACAGCTTGGTGGTGGACGCAGGCAATGACATCGCGGATGTGCTGCAGGAGCACGCCTTGGTGATCAGTGAGAAATGAGTGCGTGGCTCTGCTGGCAGTGGCCGGCTGCAGTGCAGCTTCCTTCTGCCCTGACCTGCACCAAATGCACTGCGCTTCTGGAACTGCTGACTGTGGAACTGCTCCCAGCAGCCACTCTTCACAGCAAAGCACATTCATTCGTGGATCCGCTTGGCTCACCGTGGCCTTTTTAATGGACTGGACTCATTCGATGTCACGCAGTGGTGGGCAGTCTGCTCCTCACGTGCTTCTTGTGGGGCAGAATGGATAAGGGTGTACTTGAGGTTATGTCACCATGTACATCTCGGTAAGCGTAGTCGTAAGACATGGGGATATTTAACAAGGAAAGTGCCTTGATGCTGAACACTTAGTGAATGTAACGTTAAATAGATTTTATTATGTACCATATGGAGTTAACGGCTGCCTGAGCTACTGCTGATGTGTAACCTCTGCCAGCTTTGAGCGCATGCTGTGGCAGCCGGCTGAGCTGTGGGTGCGTGTGCTGTCGATACAGAAGTGTTTTCACAGCACTATGTCACCTTACTTCTTTTGCAAGCTGCATGTTTATTGTCATAGATGTATTGTCATAGGCTGCTTTCTACAATTTACTTTTTACTGTAACGTTTGAATGTCTTTGTTACCCAGCTGAGCCTGAACGTTGCATTTGTCTACTACATGATATTAAAAAAAACGAACAAAATTCCAAACTCTGTCGGAGTCGCTGTCGATGTTGCGGGGCGTTCTCTCCCCTCTCCGTTCGTCCCGGGCACGGTGCGGGCAGGGGCACTCGGCTGCCGCCGGGGCTGCGCGCCGCGTGGCAGCACCGGGCGGTTCGGGTCCCTTGGTACGGGCGTTGGTGCCGCTCCCGGCGCTGCGCTCCTTGCCCAGCCCCTCCGCCGGGTACGCGTCGCGGGGCAGCGCCGGCGGACGGGGCGGCAGCGCGACGTGCCGGGAGCCGGGGCCGCCGTCAGCCGCGTCGTTCTCCGCGTTTTGTTTTTGTTACGGTCGCGCGTTCGTTTTCGCGGGGCTCAGCCGTCCCCCCGCCAGTCCTCGCTCCCGCCGAGCCCGTGCCAAGAGCGCAGCGCGGCCTTCGGGCGGCCGCGCCTCCGCCTCCCCCTCCCGGCCGCGTTCGGCGCCGGAGGCAAAGCGCTTCTCACGCAGCTCCGCCGCTGAATCATCGCGCGGCGACGCCCGGGCCGGGGGACGCCGGGCCCCAGCGCGACCCGTCCGCATTCCGTGCGATTCGGAACAAACGCGCTCCCGCGGACCGGATGCAGCTTTTTCCCCCGCGCTGAGATTGAGCGCGGCAGGAAGGCACGACCGAGAGCCGCGCACGCACCGTCTCCGCGTGGTCCCGCCGCGGAGGCCTCCGACCCCGCGGCAGCGCACATCCCCGCCCCGAAAGCCACGGGCCGCGCCGTTTGCCCCGTCCCAAACCCGGTGACCTCGGTCCCGAGGGAACGGCGCCGAGCGGCTGCGTCACCGGGCAGCGCCCGCCTGCGCTCCCTTCCTGGGAAAGCCCCGCGCTCCGCGGGCGGGGGAAAAACGCTGTGAGGCGATTTCCCGCCGGTACCCGGGTCTGGAGGAAGGCTGCCACTCGAGGCAGCGCCTCCCGGGCCACAGGAGATGGAAACGAACTGGCTGACACCATGGCGCTCATTGGTATCTGAGAAGTCGTGGCAGCCCGGTGCGGTCCCTCGTGACTGCAAACATGGACACGTCACACCCATTTTTAAGAATCATAGAGTCACAGAATCGCTCAGGTTGGAAGAGACCTTAAAGCATGACCTAGCCATACTACCCTAACAACCCTTCACAATCATGTCCCTGAGCACTACATCGAAACAGTTTTTAAACACATCCAGGGATGGTGATTCAACCACCTCCCTGGGGAACCTATTCCAGTTCTACAACCCTTTCTGTGAATAAATTTTTCCTGATATCCAACCTCAACTTGCCCTGGCACAACTTGAGGCCATTTCCCCTCATCCTGTCACCTGTCACCAGTGAGAAGAGACCAGCCCTGCTCTCGCAGCAAGCACCCTTCAGATATTGGAAGGTCTGCCTCAGCCTCCTCTTCCCCAGACTAAACAGCCCCAATTCCTTCAGTCACTCCACACAGGGCATGTTCTCTAAGCCCTTCGCCAGCTTTCTTTGGACCTGCTCCAGCATCATATTATCCTTTCTGTACTGAGGTGCCCAAACCTGAGCACAGAAGAGATGACGCAGAGACTACCAACTTACCTATCCTGGGCTGCATCAAAAGAAGCATGGCCAGCAGAATGAGTGAAGTGATCCTGACCCTCTCCTTTGTGCTGGTAAGGCCTCACCTGGAGTGCATTCAGATGTGGAGTCCTCAGGACGGAAGAGACATGGATCTGCTGGAGCACATCCAGAGAAGGGCCACAAAAATGATCCAAGGGATGGAACACCTCTCCTGTGAGCACAGGCTGAGAGAGCTGTGGCTTTTCAGCCTGGAAAAGAGAAGGTTCTGGGGAGACGTGAGAGCAACCTTTCTGTATCTAAGGGGCTATAAGAAAGAATGGGACAGACCCTTTAGCAGGGCCTGTGGTGACAGGACAAGGGGAAATGGTTTCAAATGAAAAGAGGGGAGATTTAGATTGGGTATAAGGAAGATGTTTTTTACAGTAAGGGTGGTGGGGCACTGGAATGGGTTGCCCAGAGAAGTAGCAGATGCCCTGTCCTTGTGGACATTCAACGCGAAGCTGAACAGGGCTCTGAGCAACTTGATGTAGCTGTAGGTGTCCCTGTTCATTATAGGGGAGTTGGAGGAGATTACCTTTAAAGGTCCCCTTCCAACTCAAGTGATTCTGTGATTACACAACTGGGAAAGATAGTGGCCAACTTCTCTCTTTGAAATCAGCCTGAAGGCAATGCAGGGTCAGGCAAACATGTGGAGTCATTTAAATACAAATGTCAACATAGAAACGCCCAAAGTAAACAAAAACAACCACAGTACAACTCCTTTAAAGGTAATGACACAGAGATCCATCCCCATGGATGGATCTGCCAACAGTGGGAGTTGTTCCCATGGGTGTGGGAGGAACTGAGCAATGCAGGCACAGGCAGACACACAGCAGCAGCCCTGGGACTGCAGTGGCACAGGGGGCACACACCGGCACAGGGTGGCACACAGCAGCACAGTGCAGTTTCCAGGCGCATGGGGCATAGGCATCACCATCCCCTGCTTGAGGTGGCCCTGGCAGCACATGGGCACAGAGAACAGACTTCAGCTCAGGGCAGGAACCTGGGGAGCACATGGGCAACAAGCCTGGGGCCGAGGCACTGCACAGTCCCAGCTGGCAGGCGATGCCAGAGGGAGCAGACAGCTGGTTCTGGGGCAGCACACAGTGCAGCATAGTGGAGGTACAGCAGTAGTGGGTGCTGCCCTCCTCCTTCTCCCTTGAGAAAGGACAGAGAAGGCTGCAAGTGAGAAGGAGAGGTGAAAATGAGCACAGACTGAAGCCGTATGAGGCAATTGGCACCAAATATGATTCACAGCTTCCTGCCTCACAATGCCTGTGCAGTATGAAATCACGTTAAGATGGCACCGTGGAGAGCTTCATCACCAGTGCAAAAGCAATTAAACCAAAGGAAAGCAAAAGGAGGGAAAAGGTGGTCCTCAAAAATGAGCAAAGCCAGCAGTGTAACAGTGAAGAACACACTGCAGACAGAAGCAAATACAGGGATCATGCTGGGAGATGTTGGCTCTCAACAGAAAGCAATGGCCACAGAGACTATGGGAGGGAAGGGGTCCGAGGTGTGGGGCAGCTACAGAATGAGCCTCCTGTTAAAAAAGACACTGTGCCTTTAGGGTTAATTCCTGTATTCAGAAGGTTTTTTAAACATATGTTTTCAATTAGAAAAAAAGTCAGAATCCCCAAAAGACCATGTGCAGACTCAACAGAGAAGGGCTGCACAAGGATTTGTCCCAGAGGTGTGCAGTGCTCACTTCATAGAAAAAAGAGTAAGAAGAATAGTCCAGATTTTCTCACATTATGGCAGAATTTGCTGTAGTTTGATTCCGGAGCCTCTCCAGCTCCCTTTCTTCAGGCCGAAGAGTTCCTTTCAGTGACATTCCAAGTGGACAAGGCAGAGCACTAACCCTGATTTTAATCTCATGAGCTTTGTTTCTGGCATCCCTGAGTACAACTGATTAATCCCATGGTTACGAAACACAGTATTATTTCTTCATCAGAATCCACCGCACGTACAGTTTCTCATCTAATGGAGAAAATTCTGCTGTCTGATCCTTGGCAAGGGAGTACGGCATTCTCAGGATAGCAATGGCAGATCCAGGAAATTCAGGCTGCTTTTCTGAGAAATACTCACTGCAAAGCTTCTGTTCCGTTGACTCAGTCACGGCAGTCTAGAAACACACACAAGTTGGCTCAAGAGGCTTTCAGCAGTCCGGAGCTAAGCAATGCCTGAAGAACAGGAGGAAGGCTTCCGAAAAACATCAGTGGCGTTCATTCAAACTTGAAAGCCTTGCCCTCATTGCTCTGAGCGACTCGTTAACACTAAAGCGGTGCTTTGGAAACAAGAAGCGCCGCACTACAGCGCAGCTCCTTCTCCCGTTGGGCTGCGGGATCCCACAGCTCAGCCCCACAGCTGAGAGCCCCGCGGGCAGAGAGCAGGGGATTGACACTGCCTGCACTGCAGGGCACGGCGCCAGCGCACCGCGAGCTTCCCTAGGCTGCTCCACTGACTGCGTCCCCTTAACCCTTCTTAGAAGTGTGCCATCCTGTTAAGGGCTGAAGAGAGTCAAAGACACTGGATGAGCAAAGTACAGCACTAAGTAACACCTCTGCACTTACTTCTCTGGCAAGTTCTGTTTTAAACAAATTTAGAGAATAAATCTACACCATACATACACACATCTGCTTCAGTTCATGTTTTGATATGCTATTAACAAAACTTCATTCCATGAAAGAACATTTTATTCAGATGTCTGTGCCAACTTCCAGACTGTCGCTGTTCATTCTTCTGTTCTGGTTTCAAAATAGCCAGCCAAAAATAGTTTTGAGTTAAATTAAATAGCAAGATGGCAGAAAAAATGATTGTTTACTCATGGAAAAACGACAAACAATAATCATAAGAAAGATTTTGAAAACGAAAAAAAAATTCACTACAATAATTGCGTCTTTCTCGAATACTAAAAAAGACAATTTCTTTTAAATAACAGAACAGCAAAGAAGGAGGAAAAACAAAGGCTAAATAAATGCTTCTCACACAGAGCCCTGCTCCTAAGTTATCAGACTGGAACACACAACAAGTTCACAAAATCAGACCTCATGGTTAGGAACAGTATTACAAAATGAATGCATAAGCCCCTCTGTTGGCTCCGCTTACAAACACTGTTCTCTGCATGCAGGACAGAACAGTGCACACAAAGCAACCACTTTATGCAACACTATCTTTAAGATGGGGCGGCCGCAATGAATAGCCGTAAGACAGGCTCATCACAATAACTTATTACAACCACTGTGCTTACTCCTCTTTGCGTGTTTACTCTTTCTTGCTAAGAGGCAAAGGATAGTGCTATTAACAACTACCTGGACTTACCAGCTGTTGGTCCATACAGCTGTGGGCTCCAGACTTAGACACCGCGAGGATGCGCCCCGCTTCCTGCTATTAACATTGACACAAAGCAGCAAAGCGAGCCCTTCGCTCTCTTTGCAGAGTACTGGAACCCAGAGCTACACAGAACGCTAGCTCCATCACACATTTCAGCCTGTTCAAAATCAATTTTGCACAATCTTAAATCATGTATATGTTAAATAAGCTCTATCTGTTAAACGTTAAGTAACATTCGGGAGAGTATCTTAGCTCAGTATTTCAGAACAGCTGCTAGCAAAGCATAAAGCTATTAAATAAATTTTCACAGATTACCTCTCGCAATAACAAGTATGACATTTGCTGTTAAGGCACTGTTTTGTGCACGTGACCACTGAGATTGCCTGTTACAAAAACATCAGGATATTCAATCTTTAGCATCTTGATATCTGGGCTGGCAGGGTTAAAATGCTATGACCTAATGCTTGAAACCCTGTGGCTGTCAAAACAAAGCCCTACAGCTCAAATCTGTTAAGGGAGATTTCAAAATTAAAATCTCAGATTTCTCAGATGAATTAGAGTTTCAGGTTATCTTTTCCTGTGATATTTCTAATCGTCGGCAGCATAAGACCAGAAGATTTGGTAATGGCAAAGGCTACCAGCTGAAAGCTCGCTCTCATGACCACAGCATGCTTGCATGCACCACAGTACAAGCTGCAGACCAAACGATCCCCAGAATGTGTTCCTCCCAGCCTTTTAGAGCACCACTTTGAAATATACCCAACACAGCCAAACACCACTGCCCTAAGATCCTTATTTGCAAACATCTGCTCAGCTTAACCATGAGTCTCTATCAGCTGCAATCACCAAGCATTTAAAGTGATTATCTTACTACTGATCTTAGTAACCATCTGTATGATGGGAGCACTGGAAGATAACATCTATACTCTCACTGTAGTTCAGGACTTCAGCCTGCCTGTGCCTCAAGCTTCTCAACCACCCATACTGCTGAAGTGTTGGTTTGCACTCAGCAGAGAAGGGAACAAGCCCACTGCTTTCCCACATGGGAAGTGCAGAGGTACTGACAGAGGTGAGGAAGACAGCCTTGGACTAGGCACAGTCATCCTCCTTCCAGCACCACGTGCTCAAGTCAAGGCACGTGTTGAAACAAGAAGCCACATCTGAACAGCAAAGAACAGCAGAACATCAAATATGGGAAATACACAGATTAGTATTTCAGGTTAAAGGGTGGGATCCTGTGGGCTTTTAGGCAAGACTCCATGCATATTTTAGAATAAAAGATCCCAGCTTGCAATCTCATCCATTCTGATGAACAATGGGCATCAGCAATATAAATTATACAAACAGGTGCAAGTTTTGCTGCACAAACAATAGATTAATTGTGATATTTCTCTGTATCTGGGCTCAGACACAACTGCGCATGTATTTATATGTACAAAAGCAAATCATTGGACAGTTTCTCAGAGGAATTGTTATAGTTTCATAGATGACATATCTGTATAATTGCATCTCTTCTGCTGAAGCTATACTAGCTTGCAACAGCAATGAGGCCAGCTCATTGTCTCTTCCTGAAAGTCTACATCCTGAGACACTCTGCTTTTCACACACTACAAGGAAGCAAACTGTGAATGTAACATATAAGCTTTCCTTACTTGTGAACATTCAACACACTGGAAAACTGTACTGCACACAGATATGAAATAATATGCTGCCCACTGTCTATATAATTTTGTTGTCATCACCACAAGACTTCAGTGTTCTTATACAAGCTTATTCAGTAAAAACAGGCATACATGCAAAAAAGTGCAGTATCTGTCTGTATCTTCCTGTAAGGTCTGAAATGTTTACAACCATTATGGAAATAATAAAAGGAAAAAAATAAACACCCATGCCAGTAATTGCAGATGAGTTGTACCTACAGAAGACCAAATGATGGTAAGGTCTCAAGTCCTTCCTGCCTGTCCTGAGAGATTACTAGCATCAACAGGGTGGGTTGTATCTAGAACACATCTTATGCTGTTAAATCTCAAAGCTGTATACAAACACAAAGCCTACAGGATGGAACATGCAAATGGAAGCAGGATTGAAGTAACTGTACATAGGTGACATGAACCCATTTGCTGAGGCACAGGAACAGAACCTGCGAGTCCCTTACATACACTGTGCTCAGATTCAGGCTTTGTCACATTCAATATCAAACTTGGATAGATATCAAACTTGGGTAGAAAATTCAGCTCTTCTGAACAAGTTCCCGCTCATGATCAGAAGTTGGAACATCTATCTCATCTATCTCAGGAAGTCATCAACAATCTCAAAAAGAGAAATCTGTTTATAACAGATATGCTTATATCACTTTCTAGGAATATTAAAGTATAACATAGCATTTGTAATGAAATATACACTGTGGCAAGAGAAACATTAAGTAGCCAGAGCCAGAGCAGACCATTTGCCTATGCATCCAAATCAGCTGTTCAGCAGCAACCACACCGTCTGTGGAGGTGCATCCACAGGAATGCTTCCTTCTCTCCCATGAATTCATTAATAGTGCATTTTTTTTTCTTATTTAGGGGATTTTAATGGTCATGTAGCATGAGACTTTTGTCTGTAATTGGTTAATCTGTTAATGTCTGGGGGATTTCCATTTGTAGAATTTGACATTCTGGGGGGCTAAATGTTAATTCTAAACAACTGAATGTTTAATTTAGCTTTTTTTTTTTTTTTTTTTCCCAGCTCATAATACCACAGCTTCAACTGAGAAGAACAGTTTTAAACTAGGAGAAATTAAAGGCACAGTAGCAAGAAGGTAAGAAGATATCATGCAGTAAACAGCTAAAAAAAGCAGCGCCAAAGAAGCACAAAATACAGTGAATGACTGAAAATGAGAGAAAAGGAAGGAAGCAGGAAGCCAACACAAACCTCCCTTTTCCAAAGCGCAGACAGGTCAATAGCATGTACATGACATATCCTCTCATTAAAGATATGGCTACCATGAGCCAAACTGCTGATCTGAGAGGCAGAATGCACAAAGATGATTACCAACTACCTGTGAGATGGGAAAACAGTACACATAAAAACTAGATCCAAAATAAGCATGGGAAAAAAACAGTAAAGTTGTTTTACTTCATGTAACTTAAGGAAAAATTTGGGAGATGTTGGCTCTGTTCAAGTTTGTGCACACTGCCCCAGCAGTGCTCATCTATCTGAACTGGTTGCCGAGGGGGAAAGCAGCAAGCTACCTGCACTGCTTGGTGTTCTCAAAGGGAAAATCAAAACGAAGAACTAAGAAAAGCTACGTCCTTTGCCTTACTACTGATACATTTCTGTGGTAAATAAAAAAATAAAAAAATAAAAAATCCCCAGCAACTCTGAAAGTGAAGCTTCACAGGAATAAATACAGTACATTCATTACCACACAGCTGTTGAAGGGAATAGGGTAATCTCATAGGAGGTAACCACGACCACCCAGGAAACACATACAAAAGCAGTGCTACCAGGCTGGGACTTCACAAGGAATTATTTCCTCTGCTAATGAGCGGTTGCCAGCCCAACCATGTCCAATGTTATATAGGATTGTCCTACAACATTTTGTCGAAGTCCAGGTAAAAAAGTTGCCTGGCTTTTGGGTTCATTCTTGCTGTGTTCTGAGAAATTCTCAGAAACAAGAAATTCTCTTGTTTTAACAGAATTTCTAAGGTATGGATTGAACAGGCTTTTTCCACTGAAACCTTCTCTGTTTAAAACTTCTTCATTATCATTTTCTTCATTTTTAATTGAGATCTGTTGGGTATCACATAAATCATCCTCCAGCATTTTGATGGGTTGAAGCTTCTTGGATGCTATCAAAGCTGAATGTATTTGACTTTTGAAATCTTGATCAGTGATTATGTAAGGCATGGATGGTGAAAGGTGCTTAGCAACTTCCTGTTCTTCGTTGTTGAGTATCTTTCCCTCACTATTTAGCAGAGTTAATTTGTACTCAGAGATATTCTGTGCCTCATTTGTATTAATGTCAGTACTTCCAGAAACACATTTTTCACAATCCATTAGTAGTGATCCTTCATGTTCTTCTTCAGGAAAACAATCTTCCAAAACACTGATGTTTTCCAGGCCTTTGTTTTTGTCCTCACATGCCACTCCCTTTGAAAATGAATTATTCTGTCAGTATAAAGGTATGAATTTGAAAGTTACATAGAGATAGATAAATTATCAGAAGACTATATAATATATGAAATATTGCTCGTTTAAGTGCATCACAGCACATGCAGTTAAATGTGAATGAGTATTTAAAAAAAAGACAATGTTATTCTATCCATTTGCTAAATACCTTCACTTCATGCTCTGAACGAACATACACTGTTTCCCACTCTAACCAACTAGTGTATGGACAAAATTTAAAATTCATAGATTACACTTGCTATTGAATCTTGATCAACTCCATTCAAATATAAAGTGGAGAATGGAGGAAATATGAAGATGTGGAGATTCCAGTCAATGATTATAGTTAGAAAACAACTGTCACAAGTGCTTGTCTTCTGCACATTTGATCCCCTCTTTAATAAATAAAACCACATGTGTTACCATAGCTGCGTCAACAGGCCACTGCACTGCAACGCTCTCTGCAGGATTGGGGACATCAGGCCAGCAAACCTTTTTAAACCTGTCATTAAAAAGGATGTTTAGTCAATGTTGAAAAAAATAGATTTTTTTAAATCTACAGAGACCGCAGAATTAATGGTTAATGCACAGCAGCCAATTTTCTGATCATACAACACGCTAAATAATAACATCCCAAAACAAGGCCATATACAAAAACTGTTGTGGTTTTGTTTCTGGTATTCTTCAGAAAAAAATTCCAAATCAACTAAATTACAATCTACTGACAGTGTCCAAAGCAATATACCACACAAAAGCAACACTGAGTTCTTATTTTAACAGCAGATTTAGAACAGCTTTAAGTGAAGCAGTACCTTATAGTCCATGACAGCACGGAGTCGTAGACAAGAAAGAAAATAGTTAATTCATATTATGTTTAAGTGAATCAAAACTTGGCCAGAGCTTGACTTTTCACATCACAACTTGACCCACAGCAGAATATGAACTCTAAATTACATCTCAAAGCATGGGATAAAAGTGTAGTTTCTTTCTTTTATGAAAAATCAGAATAAACAATGCAGATGAAGATGTGAAACTGCTGGAAATCGCAGTTATCACATCAGCTGTACTTATAACTACATACTATGTTTATCTATCTACCAACTTACATCTCTTTAGAAGTTTTCATATCTTAAAACCTTCCAAAAGAGTTGTTACTGTTAAGCTTGTTATTAAGCTTTGTCCAAACAACCAAGTCATTCTTCAGGCTAAAGAAAAACACATTTTTAACCTTAGCAAATCCTCACAGCCATCTCTGGGATATTGTATCCCTGACTTCTGAGAAATCTGAAATCTGGCTGTGGGCTTCTCTGACAGTAGAAAAAACGAATTACAGATCATATATAAATATGGATTCAAATCCATGGATCAAGCATACAAATGCTTTCACATGATCAATTTTTTTAGTTTATTTACAGTGCAAGGAAAGTATATATAAACTAACCAAAGTAATACTAGCATAGCTAAGATCAGCAATACAGCTTAAGTAAAATGTGTTTTAGTGGTGTGCTTGCAAGACATATATTGAGTGCATGGGAGGCTTTCTTAAGCATTATTATTTCAACACATGAATTAAATTATACTTTTCTCACCTGAGAGACCACACAACTGCAACTAGCATATAACATTTTCCATAGACTGATACAGAGCACCAAATCCATCTCTCTCTCTCTTTTTGTTTTTTAAATGCACTTTCTGAAATTAATATTTACTTTTGGTCTATAGCATATTAACTGGTGTTACAAGATAATCTGTAAGCTCAGTTATTTGTTACTCCATCTGCCAGCTATACTTTCCTAATTTGACACTGGTATGAAAACCAACACGGAAGCATTTTGAAAATAAATAAAAACTTCCTTTTTATAATTTAAAATATATTGACTAGATTCAAATTTAGAAGACAAAAAATGTACTTACAGCTGTTTTTTCATAATGCAGGTTATCCAAAGGCCTACCAGAAACAACATGCTTAATCCAACTGGTAGAGCAATGAAAATAACATCTTCTTTATCTTTAGAGGAAAAAACAGATGGTTATCATTTCTTCCTGTATTCAACAAAACAGCTGATTTTCTACATCAAAGTCACCTGGTTAGCAGCACTGTAAAGAGCTTTGCCAAAATTAATCAAAATTACTCAGAATACTGAATAGTACCCACAGTACAATGTGTGAAAAGTTGAGCATTTTTCCTCCAACTACTAAGACAGAAAAAGAAGAAAAAACAAAATAGCATTACACAATAATCCAGCCTTGAGTGGACCAGCTCACCCTGTCCAACACAGAGATCAGAATCAGGTTGTTTAGTCCTGTGCGAGTGCCAACCACTGACTGCCATCCAGGATGAAAAGCCTAATACGTTTCTGGGTACTTGATGTTTTCGAGTAGCCAAAAACCACTGTATAGTGACACTGCCACTTGTTACTACTGGATAAATTTTACATACAGTGCCAGACATGGGTTTTAAATATGCTTAAAATACAGTTATTCTACTGACTGAAACATACTATACAGATTTCTGAGCTCGCTTCCAAGTACCTACCAGAGGCAGGTACAGACAGCAACAGCGATCAGAATTCAGCACAGCCTAACCTATCTTGTATGTGAGTGGCAAAGTAGCAGAATTTAGCAGGCAGAAAATAAAATTAGCTTCACATCTCATACCGTGAAAGCATCTGATTTTCTGCTTGCAATCATCTTATTAACCCCCACAGTAAAAAAGTTACTCAGTGCATAGTCATTCTAAACCTAGTATCTTGGATGGAAATATCTACTTTCTAATCAACTGTGAGACATTCTATCCCATAACTGATGGCATAGAAATAACATGTTGATCCCACAAAAAATTATAGCATTCCACAGTTTTATTGACAGCAAAAAGAAAAACCTGTGGCTTTTTTACTTGTCTCAAAGTTTAAGTCTGTAAAGATTTCCAGTGAAATCAAGTTAAATTCAGCTCATGTCAATCATTTTTACTTGCTTTAATATCCATTTAATAAGTTACTCTAACAAACATCTAAACAAAAAGAATCCTACATTTATTACCCCCAAAACTGCTTTCAAAATAGCAGAGACTAACCTGGAAAACTACTTACTGAATTTTAAAGTCTTGAATGTTTTTGGCTCTCCACTGGTTCCACCAGCTCTGTTGCTTGCCATGATATAGACCGTGTATTGCGTATTAGCCTGTAATGACTTCAGCGTGTATTGTAGCACATCGGAGTTCACTGTTTCATCTTTTAAGGAAAATATTTATGTCAGTAAACACACAAAACAGCAATTTTTTCCATTTCCATAAGCTCTGGAATCCAGGCTAAGAAATTAAAACTTTAAAACAGCTGCTAAAATTTGTGCTTCTGCAGCTCATAAAATTTGACTATATTTCTAACAACGCAGCTAGACACCAATCATCCAAAAGAATGCAATCTACTGGCCCTGGATACCACCTCCCCTAAAATCAGAGGAAATTAGCAAATTTTCCATTGTCAATTACTGGAATTAATATGGGTATGTTTTACATTAGAAGTATTTTAGACAGGGCACATATCCTAACATTTTATGTCTACGAACTGATAAAGAATACATTCATAACATGGAATTAAAACATTTTCTGGTGAATTTAGTCTTTGCCAGTATATTGTTACTCAGTCAAATTAAGAACCACTGAGGTAACAGATATGTTGCAATATATCCTGAGAATAAACAAAGTACGTTTCCCCTAAATGAAGATGGGGAAAATGAAGTCCTGGAGTTAAAAAGCCATCAGTGAGATCACCTTGGCACATACTCAGAGTTCTATTTTCAGATGTGACAAACGAATGTGACAACAGAAAAGCCTAAAAGAAACAACATTATAGCCAGGTTTTGCCTTTCAAAATTAACTTACATGAGCTGCTATTTACATCTGTTTTTTTAAGAAGCTAATCTGAATCCCTAGAATAGACATGGTCTGTTTCACATGAGAAGCTTTCCAATGCCTTACACATTATGCTTTGGTTACAGCTGCGTGTGGGAGAATGACCCCACACAAAACATTCAGTAACTAATATGGCATAACTCATTCAGAAATTAACATGGCAAGAATAATTGTACATTGAAGGCTCAATCTGACAGAAACTGTCACAGCTTCTTTCTAATTTACAAACTGTCAAATGCTTGTGCCTTGGCTCTGAACTGGTTAACCAGAAGCAATTGAAGACATGCCAAGATTTATTAGTTTGAGGTTATTTAAAAAAATATTATGTTAGGTATCTGCTAACAGCAATGTCTGAAGCAAAGAAGGAAAAGAACTGTTTCTAAAATATCTAGTGATACAACAGTACTCTTAATAAACCAAGCAGGAAGAAGAAAATTAGGTCACATAAACACTTCTCATAAAAGATTTTACAGAAATTATTGGTATAACTCTCAAACAGAATTATATTGAAAACTTGCATGGATACTACTCATGATACGTGAAACCAAGAATATAATCAAAAAGTTATGCTGGCAGCCTGCATAGCAGGAAAGCTGTATCAACCACAGAACATTAAGCACATTTGAAGAAATTAATCTAAAAAAATATGTCTGAAGGAAAATTTTCTTGGCAGCTTATTTTAGCTCTGTGACTATCATTTACTATTTTGCTTTTATTATAAAAATAGTTCTAATAAAAAAATTCCACCATACTGTTCCAGAAGGAATCCTTCCAAGGACGTGTATGGAACTTACAAACTCACTGAAATCTCATGAACTTTAAATCCATGAATTTGCACAGGATCGACGCCTCATTAATGTATTCCATTTGCACTTTATCTCCTCTACCAGTTGTTGTGATTTCTTTAACTGGCTTCAGATATGTCATCGCAGACACATTTAAAATGAAGAAAGACTAGTACTTATGCAAGAGTGGAAAACTACAAGTATACAAGTATACAGCAAATAATAGTTTCTGATTTGGCATAACCTTGCAAAAATTTCATTTATTTATTTATTTATTTATTTACATTATGGAGAACAAGCTGCAAAAACTCTCTAACATATGAGCTGCTATCCATCCTGCTCTCCGAAAGAGAAAAGGAATGATAATGTTACCACACTCTGACCAAATTAACGCTGAGATCCATCATATTTGCATACGATGGACCCTCAATGAAGCACAAAGGACAAAGTGCTTAACACAACTGGCTGCACCACCAAGGGTAGTACATTAGCAGTAAAAAAAAATTTTTTTAATTATTAACATCAAGCAGTGCTGTACAAAATAAGTTCAAAACTGATAAAGAAACAGAACAAGACTACACATGCAGTACTAAAAGTAGGAATGTTCACTAGCATACTTACTTGTTTCAGTTAAATCTAAAAATAGTAAGCTTTATGTAAGCCATATTTAATATCAGTATTTTCAGACACATTTATGACATACAAGAACAAAGTTTGCTATTAACTACAGAGAGCAGATTGTCATAACCCAGTCAAAAGCTTTGACGTTTGATGTATACTTACTCAATTCTTTTCCACCTTCAGGTTTATAAAATATTGTGTAGTTGTTGATAAAGCCATTTCTTTTATCTTTTGAAATCTCATTCCATTTTATTGTAACTTCATTTTTGCCTGGGAAACCCGTATCAGCCACAGGGCCTTCTGATGGCTCTGCACCAGAACATTGTAAATTAGAAAAAGAAGTGAGTTAGTCTACCTGTCAATATTATCCACATGCTATTTCACTCATACCCATAACACTACCTAATGTAAATGTCTTATGAGTGCTCTGATACAGCCCCTAACTTTTCCCACTCTTCCCAATGTTTACTTCTGATAATATATCCCCATGTCTATTTTGATCTTTGCACATTTCTTAGCCTTACTGCATCCATATATCTCAAGACCGCTAACAGGCTCTGTCCTCACAACATCGTATTCATATATTAAACTTCTACTAATAAAAAAAATTTTCACACACACACACACAGTTTCATCTGCGTTTCTATTCAGCTACAAATGTCATTGCTTATCTTTCTTTTATATGCAGGACATCACATACACTATTACAATATAAAACCTAACAATAAGCATGATTTTCAAACTATTATTTTAATCTGTGAGAAGAATGCCTCATTCACAAGCACAAGTAGCACAGTCATTTGCATCACTGAAACAAAGCCAAAATATATATCTAAATGCAGCTGCAACATTTAAGAGAAACCCACAACTGTTCCATGTTTGTAGCTGTACTCTTTCCATGTACTCTGTATACAGTACATAAAATTTACAATGAATTAGTGGATTCATGCAGCACTGTACTATTTTCCTCATCATCCACTTCTCTCCTTCAGTAACACCAGTACCAAATTTCATAAATAAAATACACCCTAAGAGAGAGACTACTTTTCACATTATTGGTTTTAAATACATACTTTTTTCTTGAATATAAGTTTGTATGGAATATGGAGCTGCTACTTTATTTCCATCAATGGGATACACTGACATGTTGTAGCATACAAATGATTTGAAGTTTTCTGTAAAGAAAAAAAAGGAATATTTGCATAGGTATAACATGCACATAACGCACATAACACACAACTAAAGGAGACTCAATCATGGTGTCTTCCTAGGTGGATAGTAAATGCGTATATAAGTTTTGCAAGTACAGAATATATTTATTATTTCAAGTATTCCTTACAACATTTAACAGAAAAAATTCTATTTTGTAAGATCAGCAACATTCTGAATCATTTTTCACAGGAAATAGATTGAACAAGTAATTATTCTTCAGCTTTATATAGTTTCCATATATGAAGCCACTTACTCATCCCTAATAGTTTGAGATTTTTGGCAGAAATTTTTATTTTCACATCATCATTATAAAATGATCATTTCAGGAACATTTTCAATTTCATAAGTTAGGTTTGCTGCTCTGCAGAAGAGCTTTGTTTTTTGAGCCCCAGCTCATAACTGTGCATTGATCATCCAGTTGTGCTGACTGTAGATCTACCTCTATGCATCCTGACTCACAGCACAACCGTACAAACGAGATCTCTGCACTGGACTTTTATAGTCTTCAAAACATAGTTCAAGTCTCAGGAAATTATGTTATGCCAAGTAATCAGCAGGATGCACCTCTCTACTTAAAATAACTCATCAACTCAGGGAGGACTCATTTGTGGTTTTATGAGAAGCTTAGGGGTTTCCTGTGCCACTCCTCAAACTCAGTATGACTCTATAGACAAACCCATATATCAGCTTTCCACTGCTTTTTCAGTCTCTTACACTTATCACAGCCCAACACAAATGAGGATGGCCCACATGTTATCTGTAAAAGAATTCCACAAATAAGAGAATTAGGCTTGAACAGACAAAGTACACTACTTTTCTAGTGTAACTTGTCTCAAGGTAACCACGATGTCCCAGTTATGCCAAGGAGGAAGACGCTTTGTTAATTAAGAACACCTGTAAGTTCAATTTATTCCTTACAGTAATTTGTAGAATAGCACAATTTTCAGCATAAGTGTCAAGAGTAAAGAGTCAAGTCAATTTGTTCTAAATGTGTACTGCTCTTGAACTTTATTTTGAGGAAACTGTTGTTTAATTTGTTTTACTATAGCTTAGCTTCATATATAGAAACACTATATACAGCAGTGTCATCTGTGCCAGTAAGACACATTTCAGAAGCAAGGTAAGCACTCATTAACAAACTAGGTGTTCCTTTTTACTTTAGAAAAATGAAGTGTACTTCCTTCCTGAAGACTTCAGGAATTCTTCTTGCTAGATGTAGAACTCAGAAGGATCCTTACATGAACAAAAGCAACTTTCAAGTTTATTAAATTTAAGTTCACTAGTGGAGAACTAAAGAAATAAGAATCCAAGTCACATTCAAGATATATCATGTACTAATTCAAACATTTTTACAATTGCTCCTGTGTTTGTAAAATAAAAACAAAGGAAAGATGCCTGTCATTACCTACAGACAGCACACAGTAACAACACACTCACTCTGATATTAACATTCACGGTTTGCCACAGTTTTGTCAGTACATCATAAGGCCACTGAAACCTCTGATGAATACCTTAGGTCATAATACAAAGGTGATTATAAGATACTTAAGACAGCATATGGGAGCTGTTAGGCCACGGCCTGAACCAGTGATTGAACACCTGGTGAAGGAACACAGCCAGCCCTGAGAGCCAAGTGGAAGCAATTCACCTGTACAACTAGAAGGGGTGGGTCTTGGCTCCATCCCTCCTCTCATTTAAGGGATGGCAGCTGCAATGGAAGTATCTCTATTTGCAGATTGCCTCCTCTGGAGAGCTTTGTGAGCTCTAATCCTCAGAAATGAGTAAGCAATAACTTATTTATTTAACTTATTTTTAACTTTATTTTAAACTTTATTTTAACTTATTTAACTTAATAACTTATTTATTACTGGATTGTCACTGCTACCTTTCTTAGGTTTGAAGCTGCCACCAGCTGTCACCTTACAAAGAGGTTGACCAATCACTCCACTTGTTTATTTTGAAGTAAAATTCTCTTTGAAATTCTTTTGCTCTCTAAAACACATGAAAACACTGTCTTTTCCCATCTCTGAGTTCAGTATTTTTGCTCTAGATTATTCTGCTAGATCTAGTGTGCATCTGTCACAGGTCAGAAGACAGTGAAAATGTGGCATCTGTAGCCTAATTTACACAGGAACAAAGACAATCTTGTGTCAAAATTTGAGGGATAAAATTACTGTTGAACAACATGCAGCAATTTCAGTAAAGCATAAAATAAGGCTGTTATTATTTTGTCTGTGTAAATCTGCAAGAAATCAAATCCTTCAATATTGGATTGCTATCTTTCAAATATCAGTGTTCCTATGCTTTATGTGCCTAATGTGATACGGCTTGAAGTACAGAAGTCTGGTTCAGGATCAAGAGTGAAACTCTCAGAGGCAATATGAAAGCAGATGACCAATTCCTGTTAACTTATTTAAAAGCCAATGAAAGTTAGATGTTCTGTTCTTTCACTTTTTTTTTTTTTTTTCAAGCACACATTAACACATACATGAAAGGGATTCACTTGACAAAAAGCAGAACAATAATGTTAATTTCAATAAAAATAGCTGCTTGCAAATTCAACCTCATTGTTCTTTCTTGTCTTCATCCAAATAAATACACGTAAGTATCTATACGTACATAGAAGCATACATATTTGTGTCCATTATTACAGCTGTAACTTGTAAATGAACGTACTTTTGTTAGGTTTCCACTTTGTAGAATTTGATATATACTGCCATGACCTACTAAAAGGATCTGTCTCCATTTCCTCATACCACTCAACTACATACTCGGTTACTTCTGGTTTAGAGACTGTCCATTCCACAATCACTTCTTCCTCTGTTGTGAAGATTCTCACTGCTTCAATCATTTGAGAAGCTAAAAATGTAACAGAATGTCATCAATTCTATCTTTCTAGAAACTGTTTGCACAAGAATAATTCAGTCACAGCAATCTGAGATCACTTAGCCAAGGTTAAGAAAAACTGACTTTACAACTACATGCACATATATCAAAAATACCTTAAAATGAAGCATATAAGAACTATAACATTGAAAAAGAGGGAGGGACCAAAAAAATAATCAAGACAGGACATAAAGAAATTTACACAGAATCAAAGAGCCCTTCTCTAATAGGATCTAAATTTCACAGCTCATTGATTACAGTTAGTGCAGATAAGCAAGTTTTCGTTGGGGAATCAAATGGCAATAGGAAAACAAGTAAAGAAAGTCAGCAGGACTGTTAAGTGACAGTGAAGCAAAAGCAGACTATCAGCCTGTAGAAAAATTAATGGAAATCTGACTGAAAACTTAAGTGAGGAAAGCAGAAGGGGAAAAAAAAGACCTGGCAATACAAAGTTAAAATATGAGTATATAGAAAGAAGAAACACAGCATGGAAAAAAACCAGAAATGTTTACTGAAGGATATGGAAGTGGACAGAGGAGTAGTCAGCAATCTCCAGGACATGATGACAACATGTCTGCATATCAAATTTTTCTGATTAGACTGGAATTTAATTGTGCAATTCCAGAGAAGCACTTCTACAACTGATGTAGGAGAAGTGATTCACCAGTGGGCCAACTGCAACCTTTCTCCCAGACCACAAGTAGTTTGCAGGATATTGCAATACAAGGCTAACAAAGATACCTGATTAAGCATAAGCGCAGAATGAGGTGTATATAAAACAAGCATGTTTCTCTCTACACTTCTGTTAGGGACTTCTATTAAAATGGGAATAACATCAAACATGGTGCAATAATGCCCTGAGGTAACCAATTCTATGGTCTAGGTATAATTTGATGATGCTGTAAATGTATTTGGGAGATTCAGGATTTGAACAAAAATAAAGTAACACAACAGAAATAACAATGCATCAGAAAATGCTGGTATTTTAACAATGATACATTAAAACAAAAGTCCCAACAATAATATTCTGCACAAGAAACATGGTACCTGACAGCAAAATACAACCAAAGAAACGTTACTGTTCCAGTAAAAGTTAAGAGACTACATAGTCTTACGTATAATATGGCTCTACATATGGTTCAAAGACAAAAGTCCTTAGCACGATTTTGCTTCCACTACAATAGAACTTATGCAGATTTCAAGAATATCATTTGCTTGTAATGAGAAAAATATATTGCAATATTAAAAAATCTTACATTTTTCATCAGTGGATGGAATCCTCAAAATAGCTGCAGGAGAATTTCCAGCAGAATTATAGGCAGTAAGAGATATTATATATGCCTCTTCATTTAAAAATAAAGTAATTTTCTTATCAGAAGTGAAGTTTGTCATTTGAAGTGCAGCATTATTTTCTGGAAAATACTGTATTTTGTAGCCTAGAATTCTCCCACGGGGTGGCAAGTTGCTTAACAGCTATTAAAAGAATGTATTAGTAAATTTTTCACAGTGTTATCTTCATAATCAAAATTATATTCTTATTAAAGAATATAGAATCTCTATAAATAAAAAATACTCATGTTAAAAAAATATGGCAAAGGGTAGTTAGGGGAATGTTTCAGTTATTAGAATGCAAATATATGCTAGCTCACAAGCAGTTCATCATCTTGCTTCTCAATACAGGTTTCTTAGAACATCTCACTACTTCAAAACAGCATCTCTAGAAACAATTAGCATGTTTTATTACCAGAAAGATACTGATAATTTTTCCTTTGACATATTTTATAGTGATATTTTGCTCTAAGAAGATACATTAGGAAATCACAAGAGAGTAGTTCTTAAAAACATCTATCAAAAGTTATCTTACAAAACTGTACCTGAAATCACCAGAAAATCCAAAAATTACACTGCAGCATTAGAGAAAACTACAACATAAACCTAGTCATTTGTTTCAGTAATTTCATTACATAAATATTTAATTTTACTAAAAGACTATTGAATTTAAATGTGAATTTAAACACAGCATTAGTAAACTGCATTATTTAATATCAGTTGCAAGGATTTTCAATCAGATTTTCTAGTGATCTGAACACAACGAAAACCTCTTCTTCTGCATTTACAACAAAGCTCTATTAATCTAGCCCTCACTAAATCAAAGCCTTTCCACTTCTACTTTGGTTCAGGAAGGGTGTTGTTGTTCGTTTGTTTTTCTGATGGCAACAAAAGAGTGTATTTACCTTCCACATAAGATACACGGATCTGTTTCCAGATGGGGTTGAAGACTCAATTACTCTCCACAAGTCCACTTTTTCTGAAGGAGCTATTAAAAACAACAACAAAATTCCTGAAATCTGTTGTTATAACTGGTCAAAGGGATGCCTCATACCATATGACATTGTGCTCAGCAAAAAAATCTAGAGAGGAAACAAAGGAGCGGATGCTCAGAATGATGGCATCTGTCCTCACTCACCTTGAGTACAGCGCACAGGTTTCAGCACCATGATATGAGACAAAGCTATCAGACAATCTCCAAGGAAGGACCACAGAGAAGGAGAAGGGTCTAGAGGAGAAGATGCATGAGGAGCAGCTGAGGCCTCAGGGTTTGTTCAGCCCATAGAAGAGGAGCTATGGGGAGGCTTCATAGCAGCTGCAGCTCCTCAGAGGTTGCAGAGAGCAGCACTGAGCTCTGCTTTCTGGAGACAGTGACAAGAAAAGCGTAGAGCTGCATCAAGGGAGGATCAGGTTTGGTGTTAAGAAAAGGTTCTTCAGCAGAGGGAGGTCAGGCCTAGAACGGAGTCCTCAGGGCAGTGGTCATGGTCCTAAGCTGCTGGAAAATGCTCTGAGGTGTAGGAATTGGGTGGTCCTGGTTAACCTAGCACACATTAAAGGATGCTTGAGGGGCCCCATGTTGTCATCTTCATGGTCATCATTGCTGTTTGCCAGTTTGAGACCAACCTCTGGACGTTGCTCAGTCCCTCCCCATCCCCTGCATCCCTTCTCCACTGCCAGCTCAGAACAGACCTTCAAAACAGACTGGTGATCAATCTTTTCCTATCTCTCTTTAACTCTCATTCTTTCTCCATTTTCCTCAGTTTTCTCTTTTCACTTTTTTTCTCTTACAAAATTATTAAGTAACTGCAAGAATTGGTTTGGCTTCTTAAAACTCGTACCTCTTACAAAATTGCTAAGTCATAAAGTTGTTAAGTAATTGTGAGATTTATCTCAGTTCCTTAAGTTAGCCGCATGGCTTAAGACAGATTCTAAGTGTTAGAGTGACAATATTATATGGGGGATAATTGTAATATGTCAATTCTCATTAAAACTGATGATTGTGCACCTCTGTATATTGTTTTATCTTGATCTAACTGGTAGTATTTGTGAGTCTGCTCACTTTCTCCCGCGCTCATGCACAGGAAGTGATATCTTTGTGGGTTCCTTGCCAACTCAGAATATTGTAAGATTCTATGTTTTCATGATTCCCAAGTAACTGTTATGCATTATGAGCCCTGCTGTCCTAGAAGATGGGAAGTTGTGAATGATCTCTTTGTGTTGTTTTGCTTGCTTTGCTAAAACTTTGGCTTTACTTAGTAAATTGTCTTAATGTCAACCCTTGAGCTGCCTTGCTCTTACCTTTCCAATTCTCTCCCCCTCTCTGATACAGGGTAAGTGAGTGATCAGCTGTGTGGTGCAGGTTTAACTCTGCCTACCAGGGTTAAACCACAACATGTTCTACAGCTGGCAATTTATTTTTTCTACTTATTAGTTATTTTATTCTATGTAACCATTAAATTTACATTTCTTCTAAATCTACATTTCTACAAAATACATTTCTTCTACTTTCATTCTTTCTACTTTCCTCTTCTGTATTTATTTAAAATGCACATTAGTACTGGTTAAATAACAGAATTATAAATTCAATAGATTGATTAGCTGAAAATAATTTTCTATTATTAACTCACAATGCTCCAAAGTATACCCTCAAGAAAAACAAACGAACAAAAAAAGAAAACACTATATAGTTGGCCTACCTTTCTCTTCTGTACTTGCTGTTTCCTCTTTACACCAGTCACTCCAGAGTTTTGATTCAACACTAATACACCGAATGGCAACCAAATACTCTGTGGAGTCCCATAGACCTGTGAGATTATGTGTTGATATCTCTTCTCCAGAAGCCACCATAACAGTGTCAATTTCCTGAAATTGATGCATAAACAAAAATGGTTAGCTATAAAATTGGATGCAGACACATGACCTGGCTTTAAAATACTCATGAAGAAGTTTCGACCTTTTGCACATCTCCTGCAAAACTCAAAATCACTTGGTTTTTATTTCAATTTTTGTGTAGTATCTTCATTCTTTCCATAAAACTCTGGTTACTGAAAAACTTTAGCCTAAAGTAGATCAGAATTGACTGACATGTGACTTGAATCACGTGCAGCTCTCAAGAAGTTCTAGGGCAGCTGTGCTAGAACTTGAGGTGGTGCTGGGTAGCTGTAGTTCCTAACAACTAGGAAGCAACTGAGTATTGCTAGAGCTAAATATCACCATAATAGCCTGGATACAGCTGGAAACATCCTTTATGAGGCAATGATCACCTGAACATACTGAACAGATCTTTTAAATAAACTTTCTAATATACACCATAAACCAAAACTATTCTGTCCATCGGTTCATTCAGGAAATTATATCCTAAGACCAACAGCTAAGATGCTAATTAAAACACATGTTAGCGTCAGGAGCTTCTTTCAAGCTCCAAGAACTTCTGTTAGTTACACTGATGATTTTTTCTATTCTTTGCCAGTATTGAACATACAATGTGTAAAAAAAAAGATAAGAAGCAATTGGAAATGATGATAAAAGCTTGTTATTTTAGTGGAGGTTAATTAGGTATGCATTCAGTTCGTTGTTTTATTGTCTAGGACGAATTTTCCTTTTGGTCAGTACATATTTTGATACATACTGTACTTCTGGTATTTCTGTGAATGGCAAAGGAATGGCCTGTTACACACAACTAGTCAAGATGTCATTTTTGCTTTGTATTCTGGTAATGAAAACAACATTTACTTCCAACCATAGTAGATGAATCAGATTAAGATGAACTAATTTATATATTAATTTTCAAGCATACCAAAGTACAGATTTTGCAAGATAGAAAATAAGTAGGTTATTTTTCTTAGTCTGTCTTTCTGACACTTGAATGAAGGACGGCTGTAGGAAAAAACAATATTATTTAGACTTTGTCTTATTTCAGATGGCTTATTTCATGCTTCTCAGTATGAAAGTGATGATTCCATTCACAATCTTACTGTTTTCCATTCCAAATTTAATAAGGTTTTAGACAGGCTGTTTGTTTTTTTTTTTAGCTCATTAAAACACATGTTTTTTTACACATTGTATGTACACATTTCCAATTGCTTCTTATCTTTTTTATAGTCAGCCTTTTATAGCATTATGAAATTAGTTACAGAGCCCACATTCAAAAGAGAACAAGAGCAGCTTACCGATGAGTTCAAATACAAGTTTCTGTATCGAATCTGGCATTTTACATCCAGTAAGCGTGTACTTTTCTCAGGTATCTTCCAGGTTACTGTAAGCAACTGCTTTATACCAGCATATTTTTTTAATGAAAGTATTTCAGGAGGTTGAAATCTCTCTAGAATGGAGAAACAAAAGAAAAAGCATATATAAATATCAGAACTGGTCTATGTGTTTTCCAAGAAGTTTAACTACTATCCCAATTACATACAGTCCAGCAGAGAATTCACATGATGGTGCATTTTATATAGACATAACTCTATATATGGGAAATTATTTATAAGAGATTGTACGTGTAATTGAAGCTAACAAAATCACTCTCAAACAGATGTACAGGTTTCTCCCACCTGTATCAGTGCTGAAGATACCAGAATCTCTTCTCACAGACAACAGCAGGAAAAGGAAAGAACTGGTGCTCAGTTGCTAAGGTCAATTTCTAAATGCACATGGGGAAATAATTCTGTCACAAAGGATTTCAGGGCAAGAGCAATGTGAAGAAGACAATGACAAAATGACAGATAAACACAAAAGAGAGAAGACTGATACATAGGATGTGGAAAGCAACATGGACCCACAGCAAATCTGAACAAAAGGCATAAAGGCACACAAGGCTGGAGAGCCGATGAAATGCTGCATCAAAAATACACAAATAAAAGAATTACAGTAGTTTCCTCTGAAACAGCACTGTTAAGCCTCTTGAGTTCTTAACACTGACTCTAGGACTGGCTCTTCTTGACATTTCTTTACCACAGCTAAAACTTGTACTTCACATAACTTCCTGTGTGCTACGTGTGGTACAAGCAGCTGTTTCATGCCTGAAAATCACTGAGGAGCTGAATCTGACACACAGGATTTGAGCAGAAAAATAACATCATTGTAGTTTAGTTGTTTATATTCCACAAAATCCAGCTCAGGGCAAGCCTTATAACTGGGACTCATCCTAGACCCACTCTTTCCACCAACACCTCGTAGAGAGCCACCAAATCCAACGCATCACAGCAGCCTGTCGCTCACACTGAAGAAAGTATTTAGAGGGATGTACATTATGCAGGAAAGAGTGACAATGCTGACTTCACTCTACTGAGATCAAAATCTTGAATACATACACCAGAATGAGTAAAGGAGAAAGCAGTACAGAAGAAGAGGGAGCCAAAATAGTACTACAACTCCCGAGACCTGCAGAACGCGTGTTTTTTTTTACATTCCTAACCAGAAAGTAGAATAGTAGAATAAACGAGAGGCAGATCTGGCGATTTGACAATATCACCATTCATTTACAGCCAGACACTCTACTGACACCTAGTACTACTCAAAAACACAAACAGTTCACGTACCAGTTATTGTAGGAAAGAATTTTAGTATATTGCCTTTACTCATAGATTAAAAAATGCTTCAGTAATTTTTGCCTTATTGCAGACATCAGCTAAAATATTCCTGGAGTTAGATGTTCCAGGTATTCTGTATTATGAATACAAATTGCTAAAATTTGCTGTCTTTTCCTAACAGTTCAAAGAATTTTACATAGAAAGACAATCAGCTAAAACATATGGGGAGATTCATTTGACTAAACAGGAAGCATCCAAATTTTCAGAAAATTAAAAGGAATTAAGCATTGTATTAAACACCAGATGTCATTCATTTCAGACACTTTGCAATCTCACAGTTTAATCTTTTAGACAGTCAAGTGTGGAGTCAGGACTTGGATTCAATGATCCAGTTGGGTATCTTCCAACTTTAGATATTCTATTGTTCTACGAATTTTAACTACCAATTGAAATGAGTTGCTCATTCAAAAGAAAACCAATACAAAACTAACTGAAATCTAAAGAATTATTTCAAAACTTTATAATGGAAATATTTTTTTTTTCATAGAGTTTTATTCTACTAAAACTAACTTACTTTACACAATTTGTTCAGGATTCTCGAAGCTGTATTTACAGAGAAAGAAAAATAAATGGGGAAGATGCCATTAGTTCAACATATATTTTGTTTCTGTTTTTATTTAACTCTTTTTTAATTACCTATTTCTTCCATATTTATAGGAACACAATCCGATGAAGCTTCACCCAAAACATTTTCAGCTTTCACTTGAAAACAAAGATTATCACCAAATGGAATATTTGGGTAATGAAATGAACATGACTCAGTTTTGCTTCGGCAGACAGAGATCTTCATCTCCTGCATAATTGGACCTTGTACACTCATACTAAAAATTGAAAAACAGGAGAAATAACAGGAGTTATACACCAGAACATTTTCTTATAATAACCCTCACTGATTGTTAGGTTAGGATTTAATTATTACTTCTATGTTTTCAAAGTTGCACAATTTCTTTACCCAGGAAAACTTCCTTAGGTGATACATTTGTGCAAGAAATACTGTTTCATAACTGCACTGTTTCTGCACTCACTCTATGAAAACAAGAAATAAGGCATATGAATAGCCCACAGAGATCATATTAGTAAGACAACTTTCAGTGAGTAGCAACAAAAAGTAAAAATTACTTAATTCGCATGTTATTATTATTTTAGGTAAGAATCAAAGCAGTGAAATAACCAAACAAGTCCACTTAAGAGCTTTTATAAAAATATGTATGCAGATACAGCTTAAAACACATCCCACACTGCAAAGAGATAACCACACCTTTTCAACACAGCGTAAAGAAAAGCCGAATTGTACCGCTGCCGATTTCAAAGAAGGTAACTGAAATTTGACACATTTTCCTGATTTTTCAGCATGTGCTTTCAAGTAAGCGGAATAAGGCTAACAAAAATTGCTTCATTTTACCTAGCAACACAGAAATTCTACAAATGAAAATTTATATTTGAGAGCTGTATTAAAGACTTCATATTATGCCCCAGTTATGCACATCCTTGGTGTAACTCAAAAAACAGTTTCAGATAGGTATTTAATGAATACTTTTAAGACAGCGTAAGCTTGCAGCGCTGTAAAAGGAACCACAGACTGGTTTATGTTGGAAAGGACTTTTAAGATCATCTAGTTCCAACACTCCTGCTACAGGCAGGGACATCTCTCTCTAGATAAGGTTGGTTAAAGCCCCATCCAGCCTGGCCTTGAATGCTTCCAGGGAGGGAGCATTCACAACCTCACTGGGCAATCTCTTCCTGTGTCTTACCACCCTCTCAGTAAAGAATTTCCTCCTAATATTTAATCTAAATCTACCCTCTTCCAGTTTAAAACCATTTCTCCTTGTCCTGTCACTACATGCCCTTATAAAAAGTCTCTCCTCAGCTTTCCTGTAGGCTGTCTTCAGGTACTTCAGGTACTAAAGGCTGTTGATGTGGTCTACCTAGACTTCAGCAAAGCCTTTGACACTGTCTCCCACAGCATTCTCCTGCAAAGGCTGGCAGCCAGAGGCTTGGATGGGTACACTCTTGGCTGGGTAAGGAGCTGGCTGGAGGGCCGGGCACAGAGAGTGGTGGTGAATGGAGTCAAATCCAGCTGGCGACCGGTCGTGAGTGGTGTTCCCCAGGGGTCGGTGCTGGGGCCTGTCCTCTTCAATATCTTTATTGATGACCTCGATGAGGGTATCGAGTGCACCCTCAGTAAATTCGCAGATGACACCAAGTTGGCTGGAAGTGTGGATCTGCCTGGGGGTAGCGAGGCCCTACAGAGGGATCTGGACAGGCTGGAGAGCTGGGCTGAAGCCAATGGGATGAGTTTCAACAAGGCCAAATGCCGGGTCCTGCACTTTGGCCACAACAACCCCAGGCGACGCTACAGGCTTGGGGTGGAGTGGCTGGAGGACTGCATAGAGGAAATGGACCTGGGGGTATTGATTGATGCTCAGCTGAACGTGAGCCAGCAGTGTGCCCAGGTGGCCAAGAAGGCCAATGGCATCCTGGCCTGCATCAGGAACGGTGTTGCCAGCAGGAGCAGGGCAGTGATTGTCCCCCTGTACTCAGCACTGGTGAGGCCGCACCTCGAGTGCTGTGTCCAGTTTTGGGCCCCTCACTGCAAGAAAGATATTGAGGCCCTGGAACGTGTTCAAAGGAGGGCAACAAAGCTGGTGAGGGGTCTGGAACACAGGCCATATGAGGAGAGGCTGAAGGAGCTGGGAATGTTCAGCCTGGAGAAGAGGAGGCTCAGGGGAGACCTCATTGCTCTCTATAACTTCCTGAAGGGAGGCTGTAGTGAGCTGGGGGTCGGCCTCTTCTCTCGTGTCATTAGTGATAGGACCAGGGGGAATGGCTTCAAGCTACGGCAGGGGAGATTCAGGCTGGACATCAGGAAGTATTACTTTTCAGAAAGGGTGGTCAGGCACTGGAATGGATGCCCAGGGAGGTGGTGGTGTCACCGACCCTGGGGGTGTTCAAGGGAAGGCTGGATGTTGTGTTGAGGGACATGGTTTAGTAGGAGCTATTGGGAATAGGTGAACGGTTGGACTGGGTGATCTTTTAGGTCTTTTCCAACCTTGGTGATTCTATGATTCTATGATTCTCTGACTGTAAGGCCGCAAAAAGGTCCACCCAGAGCCTTCTATTCTCCAGGCTGAAAAGCCCCACAACTCTCAGTCTGTCCTCATAGGGGAGATGCCCCAGACTTCTGATCATTATGGACCTCCTCTGCACCTGCTCCACCAGCTCCATGTCCTTCTTGTGCTCGGGGCCCCAGAACTGGATGCAGTATTCCAAGTGGGGTCCCATGAGAGCAGAGGGGAAGAATCACCTCTTTTGACCTGTTGGACATACTTCTATACTTGCAACCCAGGATATGGCTCATGTTGAATCTTCCACCAACCAACACTCCCAAAACCTTCTCCTCAAAGCTGTTCTTAAGCCATTTCCCACCCAGCCTATATCTGCTTGAAAAGGAAGCAATCCTCCTCTCCATAACAGGAATAACTGTTTCCATCCATAGATGTCTGCTCCCTTGTACAAGTGCTTTGTAGTCATATGGAAGACCCATAAAAAATCAGTAGTTAGATTTTACAAGAAATGGTTCTGCAATTCAATTCATTATGCGGATAAAGAAGAATATGTGCAGATACAGGAAGGAACAGTACCGATATTTTCATTCAATAGCTGTCATCAGTTTTTGGTTTTACATAATCAGTTAAGTGACCAAACATAGTAACACCAAAAGCAGTAATAAATTTGGAAGTAGTAAACCAGAAACAAAGGTGAAAGACTTAAATGCCAAGCCTAAAATGAAATAAAGTTACAGACTTTTTCCTCCCTTATCACTTCATTAAAAAGGTATACATGTTTGCATAACTTACTAAAAGAACATATCTCACATGAAGTAAAAACTCCTTCCAATTGTCAAGAAAATTTCAGAAAATTACTCATACCAGCATACTATCTAAAGGTTTGACTAAACACAAACAGAAACAAGCAGTATTACTCTAAAAAACAGACTAACAAGTATGTTTGAGATGAAATCTGCTGGCACATTCAAAACTGCATCTGAGATCTGCCTTGAAACAACTCTGACTTCATGTTGTCACAGTAATTTGTGAAAAAGTAACCTTTTAAACAATACTTAACTGAAATTGAATGAAGCAAATACTTACGCTCTTATAATGAAGTCATAAAAACATAAAAAAGTGTGAGATTGCTGGAACAAAGGAGGTTCCACATAAATATGAGAAAAACCTTCTTCATGGTGAGGGCAACAGGACGCTGGAGCAGGCTGCCCAGAGAGGTTGCGGGGTCTCCTTCTCTGGAGACATTCAGAACCCACCTGCATGCATTCCTGTGTGACCTGATCCAGGTGCTCCTGCTCCAGCAGGGGGATTGGGCTGGATGATCTTTCCAGGTCCCCTCCCATCCCTGTGATTCTGTGATATTTGTAAATGCAAATCCCTGCGTGTAAGCAATCCAAGAAGGACAACTCTTCCTTCAATCATTAAAACATTATGACTTCAAAGACTCCCAGATTAAACTGTCAAATGGCTCATCATTATATTTGCACAGTTCTGCTTTTTTTTTTCTTCCTTCTCCCCAGCACTTTTCCTTGAAATTACAAATTTATCACTAGAAAAGATAAACAGTTATCAATTGTACATATTTTTTTAATGCTCAGGATACCTTTACAACATAGTAATTGTCATTTTAACGTGCCAAGCCTGCAATAGATGCTGCTAGATACCAAGCATATTTTGGTAAGCAAACGAGTAAATTACGCAAATTTTCAGCATCTATAAAACAATTGAGATGAAAGGCTTGGCTTGTAATAACTGTATTGCACAAAATGCTACCAGTAAGAAGAGCACCTTGAAAACTGCTATTTAGTAAGCCTTAAAATATCTCTAAGTGTAACACATGATTACAAACAACTGTACTTGCTACCACTAGACAAAATAACAGAGAATTCAATGGTTTTAACAAGGAAATTGTTTAAAGCGGAGAAAGGATACACCTTCTTTCCTCACCCAAAGTGAGGATAGCTAAAAGCACAAAGAATTTCCATTCTACTTCACCAGTGGGATACCCTAAAAGCTGATGTTTCTACTTAGGCTTACTCAACTTTTCTCTAATTAGTAATGTTACCTTGAGGAAACAAATGATTTTAAGTTCTGACGTAAACATTTCTACGTCTACTGAGTATTAGGTTGAAAATGCTCATTACTTACACACAGAGAACCAAAACGGTATCAAGTAGTAAGTTTTTTCAACCATTACCAACTCAAAATTAACTGCATTAAGAAATGCTTCTGAACTACATGATGTTTCTATGCTTCTCAGTTTACTTTAAACAAAAGTCAGGAAATGGGGGGGTGGGAAGAATGATGACACACGACTAGTGGTCTCACCCCGGCACTCCAGTTCCTGGCACATTCTATACTTACATTTTTCTGTAAAGAGTATAACTTGTTGCAAGATTTGTTTCTCTTCCTGAAGTCCAGTTACAGGTAAGCTTAATATCAACATCGTAAATGCAGGAAATATTTCTTGGTGTGCCTGGTGGAACTACAATGACAAAGGAAAAAAATTTCTCATATATTATATTATATTATATTATTTTAATATAAAACTTCAAATGTTGGTAGGCAGGCTGATTACACTAAACCACTACATGACTTGCAATAGAACTTAATTTACGAATTTCTTATTGCCTTCAAAACCCTTCACAAAACCAAGACCACTCTCCTTCCCAACTAAAGCCAGGCAATTTGCCCCAGCTACTTCTCAGAAGTACATAATTAAGTGGGTCTGAAAGAATTTTTCTACTAACACATTACAGAAACTTACATCAAATGAATATGCACTTCAGCCTGAACCTCTAAGTATAACCTCTGTGAAACACCTACAGCTAAATGCCAGTCCAGTTAGCAACAGAAACACAAAGAAACAATTTAAAAGTTCACAAAAAGAGGGCATCCTCTGAAAGACACAGTTCCACTTAGTTCCTTCCCATTACCACATATCCAATCAAAACTGCTGATCTGAAAAGTCCTCATGACCTCAGAAAGTTAACTTCCCAAGAAATGTATGAATACAACTCTGAAAAGACCCCTCTAATTCCAGACTCCCACTCTTCCAAGCAAGATAGCACAAAGGAATGCAATCTTTATAGTCTGAAGCCATTCATTAAAAAAAAATGCAACACCTTCTTGATATCTGTGTTGAAGCTAGTCTTCTTCATTCAACAGAAGAAATGGGAGTGAAGACAAAGATCTCCAATAAATTAGCTGAAAAGAGAGTTCTATGAACTCTATAAGAAGCTCTCTCTCTGAAATAATACATTTCTATTCTATTTAACATAGCTCTTCAAAAGATATCCCTTTTGCTAACGTGCTTAAGATACACTCAACTTTGAAAACAGGCAATACTTTCTGCTGTTCTTTATTCCAGAAATTTACTTCTCTGCATTTATTCTTTACTAGAAAAGGATCTCCATGCAGATGTTAGCATAGCCTGGACTTAACCTGTTCAATAAATTAGAAAAAACAGTATTTAATTTACCCTTCAGTCTTCTCCAGATGAGACTATAATGCTTTAGGAGCACTAGATTAGAAAGTAAAACATCCCTGGAGAAATCTAAAGTTGGCTAAGCTAGATATGAGAAACAAAAGAGAAAGCTTGCATTGATTCAACTGGCCAAACACTGGGTCAGAGAGGTTATGGACTTGCATGAATAAGGTTTGCCAGAAATTTCATGCTTTAGTTTAGAAAAAAAAAGGAGATAATGAAGATAAGTGACTTGCAATGCCACAAGGAGGGCAGGGGAGGGGAGGGGAGTTGTTTTAAAAATATTTCTTGAAGTTATTCAAAAATGTTAAAATTAGTTGCCCCGTATTTCTACTTACATCCAGATTTAACTTCAGTGTGAACCAGAAGTTGTTCCTTCCCTAAGTACTTAATGAAGCACTTCACATGTGCTTTGTTGTGAGTGAAATTATTGATAGTTATACTAGATACAGTCTCATTGACGATATTATAATTTTCCTGAGCAATTAATTCACGATTCAATTTCCAGATGATGTGGCTTGCGTTCCTGTGAGGTGTATAATGTTTTCCAAGAACACAGAATAGTTTCAGGGTGGATCCTCTTTCAATTTCAGGAGAAGAAGGAAAAATGTCAGCATCTCTAGTAGAGCTCTCATCTGAAAACAAAATTAAAGTTATCATATAACCTAGTCTCTTAAAAGAATGAGAAAATATAGTACTTACTTTGTTATCGAAGTATATGCCCAGAGATCATTTCATTGTTTTTTTTTTTAAATATAGTTCAAATAAAATGCTCAGATGGCACCTATGTGATATATATTAATATAGGTATTGTGCAAGAATGATTTTCTATATCTTGCCGTTGAGAATGTATAGCAACTGTTAGTGACTATATTGAAAAGCATTTCAGCAGCTGAGAATTTGCTCTATCAAACTGTGTCATTTCGTGTTCTGTATCTGCTGTAGTTTCCATGGAAATAAGTAGGAGGCACTACTTTTGGAGCAACCTACAGAATACTGATGAAAAATAAAAGCCTGTGGTTTTCCATTCAGGTCTGCTTCTTAACCACTTCAGAACCAGCCATACAACATTCACTGCAATTTCAATAGTTACTGGTGCAAGCTTAAACTGACTATAGAACTGCCACACTTCTAAAAGATAAATTAATTAATTTAAAAAAACTCCAAAACATTCACACACTGTTACTGTTATTGTGACTTTTAAGACCAGGGATAATGTTATTATTCAGAAATTCATGTAATGATTACTAACATTTGATGTAAAGTAGATCTAAAAGAGCAGACATTAACTGCTCCTTGGATGCTCATGTATTACAAAGTTAGTAATTTGGAATACAGCAGATCACCAAAGCTAAATCTTGACAACCCAACAAGAACTGAACCGTGATACAACTTCTGGATGCAGTGTCCTCCATCATCCTGCTCAAGAGGTAAACAGCTAACATTGTAACTTTTAAAATATTAAAAATAAAAAAAGACAAAAACTTAAAGCAATGACAGTTTGCACACCACAAAGAGAGATCAAGAATACCCCATGTAAGTTAATCTTTCACTCTACACTGTAAACTACCTACTCACCTGCTAACTCCTATGTTTAAAATATGCTGGTTTTCATATTAATAACTCTTAAAAATTACATTTGGCAAAGGATCCTTGATGGGAAATTTTCTATTGGCAAAATGAGTGCTAGTAATTAAGAAACATACCTGCTATAGATCTTCTACAGAGCAAGATAAATATCCAAATCCAACAGTTGAACATTTCCTTTTCAGAAAGTACGGACAGGAAACACTGTCAGGAAATAAAAATATTAAATAAATAAAAAGCATGTAGTTCAAGTAAAGATGCCCTTGTAACTTTAACACTTTGCAAGCATTTATATGACAAGAATGATGACCCACTTGTGTTCAGTTTAAGCATTGATTTGCCTAAATGTTAGTTTCCTACATGATGTGAGAAATCTGATACAGTTTTCCAGTTTTCAAGTTTTCCAGAAAGATGAAAGGGGCAAGCATACCTGAAACCCTTCTGGACGGGATCCAATCTGTCTTCTAATTGCAGTGTGAATCACAGAACCATAAAATCACTCAGGTTGGAAAAGACCTTCAAGATCACTGAGTCCAACCACAACCTAACCATACTGCCCTAACTCTAACAACCCTCCACAATCGTGTTCCTGAGCACCACATCCAAATAGGTTTTTAAACGCATCCAGGGATGGTGACTCAACCACCTCCTGGGAAGCCTATGCCAGTGCTTAACAATCCTTCCTGTAAAGAAGTTTTCCTGATATCCAGCCTAAACCTCCCGTGCCACAACTTGAGGCCACTTCCCCTCGTCCTGTCACCTGTCACCAGTGAGAAGAGACCACCCCTGCTCTCACTGCAATCACTTTCCAGGTACTGGAAGGGAGCAATAAGGTCTCCCTTCAGCCTCCTTTTCCTCATACTAAACAGCCCAGTTCCTTCAATCTCCCCTCGTAGGCCATGTTCTCCAAGCCCTTCACAAGCCTTGTTGCCCTTCTTCGGCCTTGCTCCAGCACCTCAGTGTCCTGTGTACTGTGTACACTGTGTACTGTGTACAGCGTACTGAGGTGCCCAAAACTGAACACAGTACTTGAGGTGAGACCTCACCAGCGCCGAGTACAGGGGCAGGATGACTTCCCTAGTGCTGCTCACCTCACCATTCCTGATACAAGCCAGGATGCCATGGGCCTTCTTGGCCACCCGGGCACACTGCTGGCTCATACTCAGCCAGCTGTCCATCAATACACCAAGGTCCCTTTCCATCAGGCAGCTTTCCAGCCACTCTTCCCCAGGCCTGTAGGGTTGCCTGGGGTTGTTGTGACCGAAGTGCAGGACCCAACACTTGGCCCTGTTGAAATACATACAGTTAACCTTGGCCCATCAATCCAGTCTATCCAGGTCCCTCTGTAGTGCCCTTCTCCCTTTGGGCAGATCAACACTGCCTCCCAACTAGGAGTCATCTGCAAATTTACTGAGGGTGCACTCAATCCCCTCATCAAGATTAATAAAGATGTTTCATAGAAGCTGCCCCAATACTGTGCCCTGGGGGGCACCACTCGTGACCCGGCCACCAGCTGGATTTAGCTCTGTTGGCCACAGCTCTTTGGGTCTGGTCATCCAGCCAGTGTTTCACCCAGCGGAGCGTACGCCCATCCAAACCATGGGCAGCCAGCTTCTCCATGAGAATGCTGTGGGGGACAGTGTTGAAGGCCTTACTGAACTCCAGGTAAACCACATTGACAGCCTTACCCTCATCCACTAAGCGGGTCACCTTGCCATAGAATGAAATCAGGTTTGTCAGACAGGCTTTACCATTCGTAAACCCATGCTGACCGGGCCTGATCCCCTGGTTGACCTTTAACTGGTCCATGGTGGCTCCCGAGATTATCCGTTCCACAACCTTCCCGGGCACTGAGGTGAGACTGACAGGTCTGTAGCTACCAGGATCACCTTTCCAGCCCTTTTTGAAGATGGGCGTCACATTTGCCAGTCTCCAGCCTGCCGGGACATCCTCGGTTAGCCAGGACTGCCAAAGAATGATGGAGAGTGGCTTGGCAACCACATCCTCCAACTCCCTCAGCGCTCTAGGGTGCAATCCATCCGGCCCCATGGACTTGTGAGTATCCAGCCTTCAGAGCAGGTCCAAAACCACCTCATCAGAGATAAAGCAGGGCCTTTCTGTTCCCCATCCCTTTCCACCAGAGCAAAGGGCTTTGTTCCCAGGGAGTCTTACTATTAAAGACCGAAGCAATGAAGGCATTAAGCACCTCAGCCTTATCCTGATCGTTTGTTACCAAGTTGCTCTCGGTGTTCAACAAATGAAGAAGACTCTCCCTAGCCCTTCTCTTATTGCTGATGTATTTATAGAAACATTTACTGTCATCTTTCACCCTAGTGGCCAAGTTCAGATCTAGCTGGGCCTTAGCCTGATTTTCTCTCTGCATAGCTTCACCATATACTTGTAATTCTCCTAAGCTGCTTGGCCACTTTTCCAAAGACCATAAACTTTCCTTTTGTTCCTGAGTTCTAACCAAAGGTCTCTGTTCAGCCAGATCGGTTTCCTTCCCTGTTAGCTTGTCTGCCATGACTTGGAGATGGTCAGCTCCTGCATCTTTAAAATAACTTCCTTAAAGTATTCCCAGCCTTCCTGGGCTCCCATGCCCTTCAGAACTACCTCCCAAGGGACCTTTTTAACCATGGGCAGAAAGAGACCCAAGTCTGCCCTCCAGATGTCCAAGGATTGGTAAGAAAGAGAATTACATATATTTGAAATTTGGTTTGCCCAACCATCCTTTGGGAGCAGGCATTAAACAAGGCTAACTCTTAAAATGGCTAAATGAAAACTGCATTCCACTCAAAAATAAAGGGAAGTTCTAACAGTCAGATGACTCTTAACTAGCCCTGTAGAACACACACCAAAGACTGTGCTATGCAGTGTGGTCAGCAGTGATGCAGTCCACCGTACTTTACTAGCTAGGTGACTAGTGACTGCGGAGCAACTAATGCACTTCTGAGACAACTATTGATATCAACAAAACAAAGCAAATTAATCAAGAGCTCTCTAAGATGATGTGTCTCATACAAAATATAGAAGAAAGGATGAACCCAATACAAATCAACATTCTGCAAAAATGAATTACAGATGCTGTGCTGGCATAAGAACTTTTTTTCCCATTTCAAAAAGTTAATCATTTTATTAGATAGTTAAATAAGATGTTTTGTAACAGCTCAGTGAATATGGCTTTAATCTTGGAGGAAATACTAATTCATGAGAACACCAAATCCTGTGTGTGGCATGTGAAGATAAGCATTTATAGCTGTTTACAGGAAAGAGCTTGGGGCATTTAACATAAATGATAGAGCTCTATTATTTCTTTTTTGTAGCCTTTAATAAAAACCTGTGACGAAAGCTCAACATGTATTCTTAATTGTAAAGACTTTGGGAAATAAAACTAATGTTAAAAACACAGTTTTTCCTTAAAAAATAAAGCAAAAAAGAGGATAAAACTCTCACCACACAGCAGTCATCTAGAGTGAAGCAATCTCATTACTCTAACTAAAATGGGTAATAAGTTTTCTTATTTGTAGACTATTCAAAATATTATCGCAACCTACACCAAGAACAAAACAAACATCACCCCAGACAGGGCACACAGATAACTATATTACTACAGAATAAAATGCCTTCCAGATGAGCAAACAGTCCATTTATGAGAAATTTTCAATCAATTTACACAAATTTTTTTAATAAAATTCACAGTCCATTTCAACAGAAAATGTAGTGGGGAAAAAAAACAACCCTTCAAGATGACATGGACATTTGATTTTATCTGGGAGCAATGATATTTCTTCTGGAAATTAAATTACTGTATTGATCACATGCAAAAAGAAATTGTGAGAAATAAAGAGAAGAGAGTAAGAGCAGAAGAACCAGCCTGGTTAAAGCTTTGAAGGACGCAAAAGCTCTTAACACAGAGAAATGGAACAATCTGCCATATTAAAAAAGAAAATTAAAAAAGGCCTATAAAGGCCTATTAAGTATGCTTCACATTTCCCACCGTAAATCTTTTTTATAAGCTTGGAATTTTTCAAAACGCTAACAGTTTCTGCTGAAATCTTAGAATGTCTGTTCTGTATTTTTGAAGGCACGAGACAGAGGCTGCTTTCAGCCAAAAAGAGTTTAGGCGCTTCCAAGAATAGGGAAAATGTTTTCATGACGAGTCTTACCCTAGCAATCCCACACTCCCACACTCTTAGTGAATAATTGCGACTTAAATCACAGGGAAGTCATAAAACCCATTTCCAAGTTACGCTTGTGCCAAAAATATCCCGAACTACTGCAAATTCTACTGCGGTGGAACACAGCGCTAAGAAGCCCAGGCATGGGAAATCCAGCTGCAATGCCATGCCAGCTTACAAGCTTTCAAAATATCTTGGTTCCTTGCACTTACATAAAAGATTAAACAAAGATCAAACCCATCTATACTCGGCAATCTCCTTGTCCTCTACCCACCTCCGGCTTTCTGTTCTGCTCCAGTGCACCATTAGTGCACATCACACAGTCAGATACTTCCACTTGCTAAAATAACGTTTTTGTTGTTGTTGTTGTTAAGTAGCAAATGTAAATGGCTTTGCAAGTATCTGATTTTGCTGAAATAGAGAAACGTAGAGGATCTAGGGAGATCCTACAATGTTTCTTCCCTGCTGTAAGCTGTTCTGTCGGTTCAGTACTGATGCTGTAACAGCACCTCTTTCTGCCTTCCCCAGTTTAGCAGATGGTTACTCAAGGTGCAAATTGCCAATTACAAGATGTCAGAAATCAGTGTAGCAACTCGGCAGGTTACAGATCTGCTTACATCTTATGTGGTTATCACTATAATCATACGCGACTAAATAGCAGTTTGGCTGTGTACTTGCTCAAGACACATGTGAAAGAACTGAAAGAACAAGTCACACCATAAACTCAGAAATGTTTCACTTAAAGATGACCCAAAACTAAGGGAAGAGATTGATATACCAGAGGGCTGTGCTGCCATCCAGAGAGACCTCAACAGGCTGGACAGATGGGCTAGCAGGAGCCTTACAGCATTTAACAAGAAGGGCAGAGTCATTCACCTGTGGGGGAACATGTTTAAGCATCAGCACTCCTTTACCATAAGGGTGGCTGGGCATAGGATGCCCAGAAAGGCTCTGAAGACTCCTTCCTGGAGATCTCCGAAAGGCACCTGGGTGTGCGCTTGGGCACCCTGATCTGGATGTCCCTGCTGGAGCTGGGGTTGAAACTCTTCCAACCTCAGCCTTCTGTTGGTTTGTGAAAGACAACTACAAAAGCTAAAATCAGAACTGTAAAGAAACAGCATGAACATAACTGTTTTCTTCAAAAAGAGCAATTTAAAAATTTAATTCATCAAAACAAAATTTCTGGCACAAAGGGGGAAACTCAATGAAGGTCACATTAAAAAAAAAAAAAAGTAATACGCTTGATAAAACTGTCACACCAACAAAGCCTCAGGGTTTCCATTTTTAATTTTGAAATTTAAGACATTTGGAATAATTATATATATATATAAATATATAAATATATATATATTTATAGTGTAAATATATGACGAAGCCAAAGGAAAACAAGACCCACAACAACTTTTCCCCACGTTTTCTATGTAGTGCTACTTCTCCAATAGTATTTCCCTTCTTTCAGGATAGGAAAGTTTTTTCCATTCAAATCTAATTCTATGATTATTTTTAACAATACAGACACATACTTCTGCACACAATGTAGCTGTTATGCCACTAATAGAAATCACAGTACATTTATAAATTGAACTGGCAGTATGTCTTTCGCCCACATAAAACATAAGCTCTTCAAGAATTTCTAACAGTTCAAATCTAGATAGCTACTCCTTCTTACTAACTACAAATACAACGCTTACAGCAATCCTAATACAGAAAAACTGAATAGTTGTTGGTGTCTTTTATTCAGACTTTAGTAGCAATTGTAGCATCTCCAACCACCACATACAGAGACAGCCTCCGCTCTATACCTGATCAGTCAATGCTGACTGCCAGGAATCCAGGCCTGAGCTATCTCAGTGAATTAATGTAGCAACAGACTCGTTTGGAAGAGCTATAAACATAAGTGTCCCAAACTCCACTATTCAAATCTGTTAGTATTTACAAAATCCAGGGGGGAAAGAAGACATTCCAGGCACAGAATGCCTGAAGTTCCAAATATGAACTCCAGTCTCCTTCCTAGAAAACAGGCTGCAGAAGCATCAGCTCCCAGGACCAAACCCAAGGATGAGTATCCGTGGGTATCAGAGGAGCAAGAACAGAGACCATCTGCACAGGTCAGAGCAGAACAAACAAACTGGAGGAATCAGAAGAAGTGAGGGGGAGTTTATGCCCTTTCTGACATCCGTAAGCTGTACAAATTGCACTTTGACAAGACCATTCATGGGAAAAGCAGCAGACTCCACAGCAAATGATCCTGAGCACACTGGTTTCATAGCCTACAGCCTCTAACCAAGCCAAAAGTAGATAACTGAACCTAAGTCCAGGAAGAATAAAAATAAGCATTTTAATATTTCAGTTAAATAGAAGTTCAAGCCAAAGAAGATAAGCACATTTTCTCTTGAAAAATAAACCTATTTATATTTGAAATGATGCCAATTTGCTACCATTATCTATTAAAATCCCTAGAATAAATTCTTAGTGTTATTCAAACGATACAGATTTACTGAGGAAACAGGAAGTTTATGGAAAAATCCAAAGGAGCAGTGTGAAGCAGAGCTCCATGAAGCCACAGCAACTTGTTCTTTAGATATCATAGCAAAAAATAGAAATAAAAAATGCTGCATCCAGAAAGTTCAATGACATTTTAATTTACTAGCTGTAAATTGACTGGAACCTGAAAAAGCAGGAAAGACATTTTCTTCTGTCATTCTCTAAATAGAATTAGTTAAATAAAAAATAGGAACAACATGATAAGATACTTTTGTTCAAAAATCCTGAATGATGTGGTGGCCAGGCAAGGTCAGTTCAGTTAATAACTGCAGATAATATTACTTTGTTTAGCATACATTAGAGTTACAAATGAAAAACTTGTTTTGAGAAACGCTTTTCTTCAGTATAGAACATTATTTATCAGCATATTAACACATTTTGATATAAAATGCTGTATATGATATTAAGGTCTTTTTTTTTTTTTTTTTTCATTTTAAGTAAACAATCAGATAGAATTTGAGAAGTATCTCTAAAAAAAAGGCCAGGACAACAATACTACTCTAAGTGACTGTTGGCAATTACCAGAGAGAACTAGAGATATTGTCACTGCAGGTCATTCTTGTTTTTATTGATAAAGAAAATTTTCAGGAAGGTTTTAAATAGAACCTGTGTACAGGTCTGATCCTGGGAGTTTTCTTCTTAGAGTTAGTGTTTGAGGAACTACAGACGTTAGTGTATGCACTGATTATTTTGTCACAGATCTCCAGTCCATAGGCCATCATTAGGTGAAGTAGTTGCCTTTGTACCCACTCCTTGGGCACAGCCACTCAAAGAAAGGTGGATAGCAGGACAGAACAAGACATCTCTGCCAGTGTAAGCAACTAGATGAGAAATGGATCCATGCACTGCCCTTTAAATAAAGGTAGAATTCTCATCAAGAGAGAGGTTTTTTCACAAGGCCAGATCCAAATCCCTTTCTTACCTCCCAAATCCCTTTCTTACCTCCCAAATCCAGGACCTGTTTTAATTTGAAGTTCATGAGAAATATACATCAGTCCATATGTAAGAGGGAAGATACTGTACTACTTTAAAGCATTTGTCCACTGTGCACAGCCTTGCAGTTGCTACCCACCATAGTGCTACACGTGTGACTGGAACAGGGAGGACCATGCAGATAAACCTGTGTTCCCACAGATAGAAGAGGAAAAGAGAACAAGATGAGAATAAAACGTATCATCATGAAAAGATGAACATGACTGTGCAGTTTACCAACCCTCATACCACAGCTATTCTAAAAAAGAGATTCAATCATTATTCCAGAAAACGTTATAAACTCATCTTACAGACACAGCTGATAATGAGTTTTGCATTTGTACAACTCACTGCAATACTTTATCCTGGTTTTCATAATTCATTTGAAATATAGATAATACGTGCCATTTCATCCTGTATCTTTTGTAGAGTGGTTAAGAAGCTTACCCTGCATTTCCACTTCCAAACATCCCTTTGCTTTTCCATTGTGGATACCTAAACGTACTCATATCAACTTCACAAGACAGTAAAAATTACACTCCCAAGTATTTCACAGCCTTCCTACCCAGTGGACAAATTCTTCAAATAGTTGGAGCTCGACACAGAGGAAGCAGGCATTCGTGCAGACTGCTGCATGAACGCAGCACGTGTATGACGTAACAGGGAAACCTCTGTACAGCTCGTCTTCACCAGATCCTTCATCTTCCTCTGTGGGACACCACATCCCCTCACTCACCACGTTAAGAAATACAAGAGGCTCTTAGCACCCTTCCTACAGCTGAATGTCTGAGCACGCCATCCCCTGTCCCCAGCACAGGAGGCAGCTGTCTGTTCTGCTGAGTATTTTCTCTCTGCGCTCTGATTCCAAATGTTATTTATCAAAGAACCAGTCTGGACGACACAACCAAATGCTGACCACCTTGCTAACGCAGCGCATCCACCTAACCCATTTTTCTTCTGCTTACTACTAATACAATATTTTCATATTTCAGCTCAAAGTGCTGGCTGACAGAACTACAGAACGGAACCAACTACTACAAACAACTCGATTTGGAAGTCTGCCAGTACAACAGTTTTTTACTTGAAGATGCTACACGTCCCAAGAATGCAAAAAATCATTCATCGGATTCACAATGTCACAATACACCAACTTAACACTAACATTCAGACTGAACCCCAGCCATTGCTCCGTGCACTCGCCTAGAGAACCAAGTAACGAAGTCTCTCAGAAACAGAGCTCAGAAGTTGTGCTCAGGCTTTTTAGGCGTTTGTTTTCAGCATGTGGCACACAGACGCCACAGACGCGCAGTGTCGCGGTCTAGGCGCAGGCGATACCTGTGACAGATCCGTAACAGGAAACGACGACGGCTCTCGGGGCACAAAGCGTGCGCGCACGGAGTGCGGGGCCGTGTATCCACCAGCCCGAAACACCTCGGGTAAAGCCACTGCCGAGCGTAACGCGTTCTTCCCCAGAGCAAGCAAACCGGCAGCTCAGCCACAGCTCTCAGCTCTCACGTCAGAGAAACAACCGCCATCGCCGCACGGCGCGGCTGCAGCTTGCGACGGCCCCGCAGCGCCGGCACGGCTCCTGCCGCCGAAGGCGCCGGTACCTACCGCGGCGGAGCCCGGCTCGGCTGCAGGCGGCGAAGGGATCTCACACAATAGGAAGTCAGCGGGTGCGGCACGGCTACGCTTTTTCCTGTAACCCTGAGAGAAGGCGGCTCGCCGCGGCGAGCTGCTTTCCTCGCCGCCGCGACAGAACGCCGAGTTCCCGCCCGGCGGAGCCCACCGGGCCCGGCGCCGCCTCCCGCCTCCCGCCCGCCCTCACCACCTGCCGGGTCGGGTCGGGCCAGATACCGACCTAAGAGTGTCCCAGCGGGCCGTGGTTTCCACAGCTGTCGATGGTGGGCGCGCTGGCACCCATCTGACGTTGCTTCCAAAGCGCTTAAGTACATCAGCGCTATAATGCATGTTGATACACATCGTCTTTAAATTGCATCAACGCGTACAGTGAAACAGGAGGGCTGGGTCGTGGCCGCCTCTGATGAACGCTCAGGGACGCGCCTCATGCATTATTTAGGTCATCGGTGCAGTTCAGAATAAATACGAACCCTTTTAAAGCTTCCAGATGCGTGCCAACTAATGACGGCCATCAGCCACATAAAACGGAATAAAAGGAAAAAGAGTTGGAAGGAAGATTGCAATTACGTGAGATGCTGTGCAAATGGAATGACATAGTCCCCAGAAATACACCTCCTGATAAGCATCCACAATCCTTTCTAAGAAGGCAGTCCCTGAGAACAGATAATGCACTGTTGTAATCAGTGTCGATGCCATCCAGCAGTCTTGTCCCTGGCCAGAAGAGATCCCTGCTAGTTTGACTTGTTAATGCTGGATTAGCATCCCCGGGAAGTCAGAGCAGACGAGAAGCTGCTGCCCATGCAGATGCAGGAGGCTGTTCTGAACCTGGTGAGGTCAGAGCTAGAACCCGTAGCAGATTCACTTGGCTCTTGTTCAGGCCCACCACCACTGCTTATCACAAACTGAGTTGGATTCAGAGATGGATGCTATCTGAGAGATGTGCTGCCTCTCTGTCCATGGCTGCTCACTGTCATCAGTGTTTCTCCAGCATGCTTCCACCATATCTCCCCTGTCTCCGGGACCTTCCTGCTTTTTCCAATCCAATGTCTATGTGCAGAATTGGGATTAGCCTGCTAAGGGGGGATCATACCTATTTATTTATCGGAGGAGTAAATAAATGCTCTATTTTGTTTAGTTCGGGTGTTTAAAGAAGTCACAACTAGCCCGCACATCTGTAGCAAGCAAGCTGCAGACCTGTTCATATCAGTTTCCAACACTCTGTCTGCACATCTGCACAATTTGGATCATGGCAAAGAAGGGCAACAAAGCTCATGGAGGGTCTGGAGCACACATCATAAAAGGAGTGGCTAAAGGAACTGGGATTTTTCAGTCTGGAGGAGGCTCAAGGGAGGCCACGTTGCTCTCTATAACTACCTGAAAGGAGGTTGTGGTGAGGTGGAGGGAGGCCTCTTTTTGCAGATAACAAAAATAGGAAGAGAGGTAATGATCTTATATTGTTCCAGGGGAGATTAAGGTTGGATATTAGGAAATACTTGTCAGAAAGAGTGATGAGGCATTGGAACAGGCTGCCCCTGACCTTGGAGGTTTTTCCTAGAGGTTTTCAAGCGAAGGATAGCTCTCACATGGAGTGACACAGACTAGACTGGCTATAGACATGGACTAGATGATCTTATGAGTCCTTCCAAACTTAATGATTCTGTGATTTGATGAATCTGCTACCTGTCAGCAATTTAAGCTGCAATTGCTGTTTTTTTTTTTCCTCTGTGCAAATACACAGTGCCAACACTTTCTCCCAATCCCAGATGGAAAAGTGAGCAGGCTGGTTGACTAAGTAAAATGCTCCAAGCAAAAACCCAACTCTTTCAGGCCATGCCGATGGTATGCTGGTGTGCCATCAGTCCTTCTACCCACTTCATTTACTCGGTCCTGCTGCTGTTTGTCATCTAGCTCCTGTTTGCTTGTCTTCTTCCCGCAGAGCAGCATTTACACTCTGCACCTCAGCATCCACTCCAACTTCCAGAGCAGTTCCGCGCCTTCACTTCTTCAGCTAGCTCCCCATGGGCACCACCGCAGAGGGTAGCCTACTGATTCCCCTATTTGTTTTGAAACAGTGTTGCCATCTCTTGATCATCTGTTTCTCATCTGGTGAAACCACACTGCACTGATGTTTCCCTTGCTATTAACAGGAATTTTAATAAGTTGGTACCGCAATATTTTGAAATTTCCCCTCTATTTTGCTATTAGGTATAGAACAGAACTGTGATGAAGAAAAAGATTCATACTGTAACCTGAACTCTCCTTGATTCTGCAAGACCTTTGATGTGTTCCTTATGTACCTCCTTATGTCTAAATTGGAGTGATATGGTTCAGAGAGAGGACTGTTTGATGCATAAGGAACTGGTTGGATGGCCACAGCCAAAGGGTTGTGGTTAATGACAGTTGGGATGGAAGCTGATCATGAACGGTGTCCTCCAGGCGTCCGTTGTAGGACTGGCACTCTTGAGCATCTTTATCAATTACATAAATGATGGGATTGAGCATACCCACAGCAAGTTTCCACACAACACCAACATAAGTGGTGAGTTGATATGGCAGAGGAAAGGATGCCATCCAAAGGGATCTTGACAAAAGGTGGGACCATATGAACATAATGAGGTTTAACAAGGCCCAGTACAAGGTGTTGTGTTTGGGTCAGGGCAATCCCAGATCTCCCCCAGACTGGGATAAGAACTTGAGAGTAGCTCTGCCAAGAAGGACTTGGGGGTCCAGATAGATGAAAAACTTTACATGAGACAGCACTATGCACTTGGTGTCCAGAAAGCCAGCTCATCAAAAGAGGGATGGACAGCTGTGAGAAGGAGGTGATTGTCACTCTCTGCTCTGCTCTCATAGGGTCCCATCTGCAGGAGTGCATTCTGGACTGGAGACCCCAACTCAAGGACATGGAGCTTTTGAAAAGGGCCCTGAACGGGGCCATGAAGGTGATCTGAACCCTGGAGCACCTCTCCCGTGAAGGCAGGATGAGGGAGCTGGGTTTGTTCAGCCTGGAGAGGAGAAGGATCTGGAGAGACTTCATTGCAGCTTTCGAATATTTAAAGGACGATTGTAAACAGGAGGGAAATCAACTTTTTACACAAGTAGATAGTGATAGGACAAGAGAAAATAGTTTTAAACTGAAGGCGGGGAGAGTTAGATTAGATGTCAGGAAGAAGTCTTTCACAGAGAGAGTGGTGAGGTGCTTGAGCAATCTGCTCAGAGAGGTTGTGGATGCCCATCCCTAGAGGTGTTCAAGGCCAGGTTGCATGGGGCCCTGGGCAGCCTGATCTAGTCGTTGGCAAGCCTGCCTACACCAGAAGGTTGGAACTAGATGGTCTTTGAAGTCCCTTCCAACCCAAACTATTCTGTAATTCTATAACTCTTTTTTACAATGTTTGCACGGGAACCCTGGGCTTGACCTATTATTTGCCTGTATCAACATATTAGTACAGTACATTGTTTTTTTAACTTACTGACAGATGTTTTAAAACAATATTTTAAACCGATGAAAAATTATACCAGACCTAAAAGTAGTTATTCACTTGCTAAACTTTTTAAAATCTCCAGCCATCCTTCTGACTGCTTAAAGACTAGGTACATGCTCTAATTAAGGCTTCCTTTGTTTAAAATGTTTTCATGGAGGCTGTAGCACTTAGGACATTCCAGGATGCAGAGGACACTTAATGAAAGCAGCAATAACTGTTCCAGTTACCACCATCTGTAATGATTTAATTGGAGAGGGAAAGTGCATCTTACAGAAAAACAAAAAAAGTTGATTTACCAAAAATGACTTGCCATAGAAGTCTGGAAACTTTAGAGTATAACAGTAACCACGCCAAAAGATGTGTTGTCACATTGACACTTAAGGGTGCTTTTATCCTTTTTGTGCTAGTGTTTTAAAGGACAAACTCTTCTGCTGTGAGGATGGGAGAAGAGTGAAGCTGCTATTCCTGGAACTTCAGGGAAAAAAATACCCTTGAAATGAAGACTCAGTGTTTTGATTGTATTCTGTTCAGCTCCTGTGTGCTCTTGGCTAGTGAGCTGGCAGTTCATGGATGGCTGCTTCAGAGACTGAAGAACAGATTTCAGGTGCTACTCCTTAGAGAAAGGAATGTGTGCTGCCCATATAGGTAGAATGAGACAGGACACTGAAGAACTACTGCTAAAATCTGATCCTGATCACCCATTAATTTTTTACATCATAGTAGCTCAGTTTGATACTTCGAAAAGTATTTATCTTCTGTATTATCGCCACATGCTATAAGGATATTAACCACTGCACACTTACTGTGAGTCTGTATGAATTCACATTTGGCACAGAACAGAGAATTGTGCAATTATCTGGGAAAACGAGGTGCATTTTCACTGTAATTTGACCTTGCAGAATTTAAATGTGCAATCTTGATAAAAGCAAGCCTGACATGAAACAGAGTTTTCATTAAGTTGGTTTTTACTCTGAAATGGTTGAAGATGTTCTGATGTATTGGGAAAAGTGTGTGTGAGAGGGGAACAATGAAAGTTATGTAACTTTTTCTAAAAATTGCCCCAATATGTAAGAAATTATCAGGCATTTGAAACTGTGGTTTTTAGAAGCACTTAAAACCTTTGCCTCATTAAGTTGCACGTACATCACCTTCTGCCCAATTGGAATGCAAAACTTACAAAATCAATGGAACCACACTTCCATCTATTTCTATTCTGCCTACAGCTATCCAGGCTCCCAGCCTTTATGGCAATACCTTTGTTTTTCCCCTATGTTGCTATGGAGGCATCAGTAAGACCTTGATGAACCATTCTCTTGAAAGCCATTCTTTCCCCACACTTGGTGTAGGATATTGACTAATTCAAAAACCGAAGCCATGATTTCATCTTCCCATGAACTTGATCATAATGTAATTGCAAGAGGAAGCAGAAAAACATGGTATCATCAGTTTGTAAAGGAATCTGTTTACATTATTAAGTCCAGCTGGAATTACAGCATGCTAAATGGACTGTATAAGAAGACTCAATTAATCAAGATTTGATTTCACTGTTGTAGCAGTAATGCCACAATCCATGTGGACAGATTTTGTAGCTGGAAAATAATTAGCATAAAAGCAGTTTGTACCTTTCTGTTTTAATATTTTTTCACCAGAAGT